TACTGTAGTGTTGTCTTACTGTAGTGTGGTGTACTGTAGTGTTGTCTTACTGTTGTGAGTGGTACTGTGGTGTGTGGTACTGTAGTGTTGTCTTACTGTAGTGTGTGGTACTGTAGTGTGTCGTACTGTAGTGTTGTCTTACTGTAGTGTGTGGTACTGTAGTGTGTGGTACTGTAGTGTGTGGTACTGTAGTGTTGTCTTACTGTTGTGAGTGGTACTGTGGTGTGTGGTACTGTAGTGTGTGGTACTGTAGTGTGTGGTACTGTAGTGTGTCGTACTGTAGTGTTGTCTTACTGTAGTGTGTGTGACTGTAGTGTGTGGTACTGTAGTGTGTGGTACTGTAGTGTTGTCTTACTGTAGTGTGTGTGGTACTGTAGTGTTGTCTTACTGAAGTGTGTGTGTACTGTAGTGTTGTCTTACTGTAGTGTGTGTAGTACTGTAGTGTGTTGTCTTACTGTAGTGTGTAGTACTGTAGTGTTGTCTTACTGTAGTGTGTGGTACTGTAGTGTGTGTGGTACTGTAGTGTGTGGTACTGTAGTGCTGTCTTACTGTAGTGTGTGGTACTGTAGTGTTGTCTTACTGTAGTGTGTGGTACTGTAGTGTTGTCTTATTGAAGTGTGTAGTACTGTAGTGTTGTCTTACTGTAGTGTGTGGTACTGTAGTGTGTGGTACTGTAGTGTGTGGTACTGTAGTGTTGTCTTACTGTAGTGTGTGTGGTACTGTAGTGTTGTGTTACTGTAGTGTGTGGTACTGTAGTGTTGTCATACTGTAGTGTGTACTGTAGTGTGTGGTACTGTAGTGTTGTCTACTGTAGTGTGTGGTACTGTAGTGTTGTCTTACTGAAGTGTGTGGTACTGTAGTGTTGTCTTACTGTAGTGTGTGTGGTACTGTAGTGATGTCTTACTGTAGTGTGTGGTACTGTCTTACTGTAGTGTGTGGTACTGTAGTGTTGTCTTACTGTAGTGTGTGGTACTGTAGTGTTGTCTTACTGTAGTGTGTGGTACCAGTGTTGTCTACTGTAGTGTGTGTGGTACTGTAGTGTTGTCTTACTGTAGTGTGTGGTACTGTAGTGTTGTCTTACTGTAGTGTGTGGTACTGTAGTGATGTCTTACTGTAGTGTGTTCTGTAGTGTTGTCTTACTGTAGTGTGGTACTGTAGTGTGTGGTACTGTAGTGTTGTCTTACTGTAGTGTGGTACTGTAGTGTGTGGTACTGTAGTGATGTTCACAGGTGTGTGGTACTGTAGTGTGTCTTGACTGTAGTGTGGTACTGTAGTGTTGTCTTACTGTAGTGTGGTACAGTGTTGTCTTTACTGTAGTGTGTGGTACTGTAGTGTGGTACTGTAGTGTTGTCCTACTGTAGTGTGTGGTACTGTAGTGATGTTTACTGTAGTGTGTGGTACTGTAGTGTTGTCTTACTGTAGTGTGGCATGTAGTGTTGTCTTACTGTAGTGTGTGGTACTGTAGTGTGGTAACAGTGTAGTACTGTAGTGTGTGTACTGTAGTGTTGTCTTACTGTAGTGTGTGGTACTGTAGTGTGTAGTACTGTAGTGTTGTCTTACTGTAGTGGTACGTAGTACTGTAGTGTGTGGTACTGTAGTGTGTGGTACTGTAGTGTTGTCTTACTGTAGTGTGGTACTGTAGTGTTGTCTTACTGTAGTGTGTGGTACTGTAGTGTTGTCTTACTGTAGTGTGGTACTGTAGTGTGTGGTACTGTAGTGTGTGGTACTGTAGTGTTGTCTTACTGTAGTGTGTGGTACTGTAGTGTGTGGTACTGTAGTGTTGTCTTACTGTAGTGTGTGGTACTGTAGTGTGTGGTACTGTAGTGTTGTCTTACTGTAGTGTGTGTGTGGTACTTAGTGTTGTCTTACTGTAGTGTGTGGTACTGTAGTGTTGTCTTACTGTAGTGTGTGGTACTGTAGTGTTGTCTTACTGTAGTGTGTGGTACTGTAGTGTTGTCTTACTGTAGTGTGTGGTACTGTAGTGTGTAGTACTGTAGTGTTGTCTTACTGTAGTGTGTGGTACTGTAGTGTTGTCTTACTGTAGTGTGGTACTGTAGTGTTGTCTTACTGTAGTGTGTGGTACTGTAGTGGTACTGTAGTGTTGTCTTACTGTAGTGTGGTACTGTAGTGTGTGGTACTGTAGTGTTGTCTTACTGTAGTGTGTGGTACTGTAGTGTGTGTGGTACTGTAGTGTTGTCTTACTGTTGTGTGTAGTACTGCAGTGTGTGGTACTGTAGTGTTGTCTTACTGTAGTGTGTGGTACTGTAGTGTGTGGTACTGTAGTGTTGTCTTACTGTAGTGTGTGGTACTGTAGTGTGTGGTACTGTAGTGTTGTCTTACTGTAGTGTGTGGTACTGTGTGTTTGGTACTGTAGTGTTTTACTGTAGTGTGTGGTACTGTAGTGTTGTCTTACTGTAGTGTGTGGTACTGTAGTGTTGTCTTACTGTTGTGTGTAGTACTGTAGTGTTGTCTTACTGTGTGTGTGGTACTGTAGTGTGTGTGGTACTGTAGTGTTGTTTACTGTAGTGTGTGGTACTGTAGTGTGGCACTGTAGTGTTGTCTTACTGTAGTGTGTGGTACTGTAGTGTGGTACTGTAGTGTTGTCTTACTGTAGTGTGTGGTACTGTAGTGTTGTCTTACTGTAGTGTGTGGTACTGTAGTGTGTGGTACTGTAGTGTTGTCTTACTGTAAGGTGTGGTACTGTAGCGTTGTCTTACTGTAGTGTGTGGTACTGTAGTGTGTGGTACTGTAGTGTTGTCTTACTGTAGTGTGTGGTACTGTAGTGTGTGGTACTGTAGTGTTGTCTTACTGTAAGGTGTGGTACTGTAGCGTTGTCTTACTGTAGTGTGTGGTACTGTAGAGTTGTTCTACTGTAGTATGTGTTTCTGTAGAGTTGTTCTACTGTAGTGTGTGGTACTGTAGTGTGTGGTACTGTAGTGTTGTCTACTGTTGTGTGTGGTACTGTAGTGTTGTTTACTGTATGTGTGGTACTGTAGCGTTGTCTTACTGTAGTGTGGTACTGTAGAGTTGTTCTACTGTAGTATGTTTCTGTAGAGTTGTTGTACTGTAGTGTGTGGTACTGTAGTGTGTGGTGCTGTAGAGTTGTCTTACTGTAGTGTGTGGTACTGTAGTGTTGTCTTACTGTAAGGTGTGGTACTGTAGTGTTGTCTTACTGTAAGGTGTGGTACTGTAGAGTTGTTCTACTGTAGTATGTGTTTCTGTAGAGTTGTTCTACTGTAGTGTGTGGTACTGTAGAGTTGGTTGTTCAAGGTGTGTACTGTAGCGTTGTCTTACTGTAGTGTGGTACTGTAGTGTTGTCTTTACTGTAGTGTGGTACTGTAGTGTGTGGTACTGTAGTGTTGTCTTACTGTAGTGTGGTACTGTAGTGTTGTCTACTGTAGTGTGTGGTACTGTAGTGTGTGTGGTACTGTAGTTTTGTCTTACTGTTGTGTGTGGTACTGTAGTGTTGTTTACTGTAGTGTGTGGTACTGTAGAGTTGTTCTACTGTAGTGTGTGGTACTGTAGTGTGTGGTACTGTAGCGTTGTTTACTGTAGTGTGTGGTACTGTAGCGTTGTCTTACTGTAGTGTGTACTGTAGTGTTGTCTTACTGTAGTGTGTGGTACTGTAGAGTTGTTCTCACTGTAGTGTGTACTAGTGTGTGGTGCTGTAGAGTTGTCTTACTGTGGTGTGGTACTGTGTTGTCTTACTGTAGTGTGTGGTACTGTAGCGTTGTCTTACTGTAAGGTGGTACTGTAGCGTTGTCTTACTGTAGTGTGTGGTACTGTAGAGTTGTTCTACTGTAGTGTTGTCTTACTGTAGTGTGTGGTACTGTAGAGTTGTCTTACTGTAGTGTGTGGTACTGTAGTGTGTGGTACTGTAGTGTGTAGTACTGTAGAGTTGTCTTACTGTACTGTGTGGTACTGTAGTGTGTGGTACTGTAGAGTTGTCTTACTGTAGTGTGTGGTACTGTAGTGTGTGGTACTATAGTGTTGTCTTACTGTACTGTGTGGTACTGTAGTGTTGTGGTACTGTAGTGTGTGGTACTGTAGTGTGTGGTACTGTACTGTGTGGTACTGTAGAGTTGTCTTACTGTAGTGTGTGGTACTGTAGAGTTGTCTTACTGTAGTGTGTGGTACTGTAGTGTTGTGGTACTGTACTGTGTGGTACTGTAGTGTTGTCTTACTGTAGTGTGTGGTACTGTAGTGTTGTCTTAATGTAGTGTGTGGTACTGTAGTGTTGTCTTACTGTAGTGTGGTACTGTAGAGTTGTTTTACTGTAAGGTGTTGTACTGTAGAGTTGTCTTACTGTAGTGTGTGGTACTGTAGTGTGTGGTACTGTAGTGTGTAGTGCTGTAAAGTTGCCTTACTGTTGTATGTGGTACCGAAGAGTTGTCTTACTGTTGTATGTGGTACTGTAGGATTGTCTTACTGTTGTATGTGGTACTGTAGGATTGTCTTACTGTTGTATGTGGTACCGAAGAGTTGTCTTACTGTTGTATGTGGTACTGTAGGATTGTCTTACTGTTGTATGTGGTACTGTAGGATTGTCTTACTGTTGTATGTGGTACTGTAGAGTTGTCTTACTGTTGTATGTGGTACTGTAGGATTGTCTTACTGTTGTATGTGGTACTGTAGGATTGTCTTACTGTTGTATGTGGTACTGTAGGATTGTCTTACTGTTGTATGTGGTACTGTAGTGTTGTCTTACTGTAGTGTGGTACTGTAGAGTTGTTTTACTGTAAGGTGTGGTACTGTAGAGTTGTCTTACTGTAGTGTGTGGTACTGTAGTGTGTGGTACTGTAGTGTGTAGTGCTGTAAAGTTGCCTTACTGTTGTATGTGGTACCGAAGAGTTGTCTTACTGTTGTATGTGGTACTGTAGGATTGTCTTACTGTAGTATGTGGTACTGTAGGATTGTCTTACTGTTGTATGTGGTACTGTAGGATTGTCTTACTGTAGTCTGGTCTATTGCTATTATTTGTATCTCTTTTTTTATAACAGCTACGAGTTTGTGTTCTCAGACTTACCAAGTCCGGGATATAAACTGGCTAATGGCACGTGGCTGGGCGCGATGGGTTTAGTTTCCTGTCACGTAAGTATATCACTGCTGTTTTATGCTCTAGCAAACAATGGTGACACATCACAGGAAACCATTTTATATTTATCTCTGATATGAATTCGAGAAGAAAATGTTTCTAGCTTTTTTGAAATGTCAATATGGTTGATTTTGAACCTCCGCATATTATGGATTATGTGAAATACCTGGTTAAACTGATTCCCTGTAACATACTCTATGTACTGCACATTCATTGTGACTAAATATATTATTGATATTATTATTATTAACCTGAGCTTATATAACCAACTTGGTTGTCTCATAATGACAAACGACGTCCTAAGTGAAGCAGAGTAAATTTTAACTAAAGTACATTAATTTCCATTACAGTGTAGCGATAAAAAGAAAACGTTACCCTAATTTGCCAACACTTCAATTACTTTTTGAACTTAATGTATGATTGTCCCTATTTAGAGCAATATATATATATATATATATATATATATATATATATATATATATATATATATATATATATATATATATATATATATATATATATATATATATATATATATATATATATATATATATATATATATATATATATATATATATATATATATATATATATATATATATATATATATATATACGATTTTCTTACAGGGTTTACCCCACCGGGGCACAAGTCACTGACTCACATTGGGGACTGAGGGCGAAAATGTAATAAAAATAACAATAAGAATAAGAATAAAAACACTGATAATAATAATAATAATAATAATAATAATAATAATAATAATAATAATAATAATAATAATAATAATAATAATAATAATAATAATAATAATAATAATAATAATAATAATAATAATAATAATAATAATAATAATAATAATAATAATAATAATAAAGAAATACAAAAAAGAAAAAATCAATAGTAAGAAACAATATATGTATGTTGTGTTGTCAAAGTAAGAGAAACAATTGAGACCCTGCAATTGTGTGTAAATGAGGCAGAAAGTCAGATGAGCAACCTGGGACTTGGTCACAATTTTTGTGATGCCATATGGCAGCAGGGTCTACCATTAGACAACACATTATGCTTCCAATATCTTCCCAGGCGGTAGTACCTCCCTGATTGATACCTGTATTTGGTTTTGATTAAAAATCACCTCACCTCAGAGAGAAGAACCTAGATTATTCAAGGAGAACTCGACCAATTTCTCTTAAATCAGAGTAGATGATGTAATTTTCTCTTAATTTTAATTTCCTATAGGTTTAAATATCATTATTAGAAGATTCATTCGAGCTGCTCTGATGAGTGTCGAGAGTCAAGTGTACAGCAAGCATGCCATCCCTGGTTCACTATGCTAACGCTCTGGAACAAGTAAGTTAATGCTCTGAGTTGGTTTCAATAATCCAGTTCATTTATAAACTACAGTACATTGGTGCCCCATGCTCCCAGAGTCTCTGACCCTATTCGTAGCTCGGGTTACCTCTGGTCTTCTCTCACACTTGCTACCCTACTCATTCCAGCTCCACTGAGGGAGATATATGTAGGCACCAAGGTGGAAGCAGACGCGTGTTTCTACTTCTACTGTTTACCAACCTTCCGGGTGAATATTTTGATTCAGTCAGAGTGCATACTGTTGGATCTATGGATCTTAGGCAGCTCGCAATAGTCAGACTTGTTTTGACGTTACCTTTAACTCACTTATATCTCACACACCAACATTCAGAGACCGTACAGGCGAGGGCGTGGCTCCCATGTTGGTCTCTCCACCTGTTCCAAAAGATATACTTGTAGACATGCAGTGTACATACGAGCTACACTATGAAGACTTATTCCAGCATGAAGGACCAGGGGATCTTTCTTTGTCTTGGTTGGCTGTAGCCATTTTGGGATCATTCTGGTTGTCTTGGTTGGCTGTAGCCATGTTGTGGTCTCGAGGGGACTGCGATGGAGACAGGAAGGCTGGGAGATCCTGTACATATTTCTTGTATGGTGGACGTGACGGCCTAGGAGGGATATTTTAACTCTAAGGACTGATGTAATGTATTATATCACGTAACAGTGAGTGAGCAGGAGGTTAGTAGATGAGGGTGTGGGAGGTTGTGAGCCTGGCCTGGGGTGGTGGGGGTGGAAGGTGAAGCCCTGACCAACATCACGGGGTAAATACCTCCAAAAAGGATAAAGGTATTGAGGGCAGAATTTTGTTTCACTTTTACAAACTCAACATGGTAATAAAGATAATACGTATTTTTCAGGAATGTGAGATGGTCGGCGCTCCATTTCCCATGAATCATCTGCGATTTGAAGTCGTCGACTTCAGTATACCAATGTATATAGAGTCTTATGTGATTGCATTTGAAAGTCCAGTGCTTGAGGCGGACCTCGCTGGCTTTGCGAAGCCATTTACAGGTTTTGTAAGTTTAGCCTTTGTTGTTTTAGGTGATATTCACGGGTTTATGTTATCACTGTATCAACAGCAAGGAAGAAAATACGTTATTACCCGTGATTTTTAGTGACAATATACAGATAACCACAAAGAAACAGGAACACAAAAAGTTCCACGATCTACTCTATAATTCTGATACTTACTATAAACACGTCTTACAAAAGATTAAAATGAGCGAATTTTGATGACACATCTTTGTCCACTAAAGTTGCTGTGGACGACCTTACTGGCCTGTCTGGCAGAGGAGGTTCCTCAACATAATCTATTTTTCAGTGTGTTGACAATAACTTAACTCATCAAACTGTGCGTCAAGGATTGTAAATTTAAATATAATTGAAAATACATTGGTAAATTTTGATATAATGATGGGCAATGCGATTCACACTGTATCAGGTAACCTCTCTATGACTTTTTAGTCTTACACATTTAGTGATATTTTATTTATTAATGTATTTTGTTTCGTGTAAAACAATTGTTGATATTAACAATATTGAAACAGTAATTATTGGAAATACTGTAAAAAAATAATGTTAACCGTATTTTTGGTTATATAAATTAGGTCCTTCCATCATTAACGACTTTGTCACAAGTCTATGGTGAGTACTGCATCGTAGTCCTTCCAGACTTTATGTGACCATTAGGAAGTTGTTGCTTGTCTGTGGTCATCTCTCCCGGTACCTGTATCTAGATCTCTGGCAGCTCACTCATACTGTACCTCCTGAAGCTGTGAATTTTTGCGAAAACTCTTACATCTTCCCACGTTTCCTGTTTACTGTCTTCAAGTTTTTATTCTACTTATAATTATTTAGGGTATTTGAGGTTGAAGATATTTTTTACCGCCACAGTAGGATGAACTAGAGAGAGAGAGAGAGAGAGAGTGTGTTTACAACGAAATTCGCTGAGGTGTTAAATGAGAGACAGGTGGCGCCCTGAGGCTGGCTAGCTCTGTTCGCTATGGGATTCAGAATACACTCTCTCGCCGTACAGGGAACAAGTACAGGTATTGCTTTGGACCCGTAAAACGTAAGTCCGTTTGCTGAACATTATTCATCAATATCCTATGTAGTTATTAATAATGTATCTGGCGCTTTCCTGAGAAACTTACGAATGATTTAATTAACTTATATGTACATAAGAACATAAGAACATAAGAAAATAAGGAGTCTGCAGTAAGGGCACCAGAACTGAACCGCATAATCGAGGTGCGGCCTGACTAGCGCAAGATATAGTTGCAATAAGACCTCTGCACTCTTGTTACTTATACTTCTAGATATAAAACCCAATACTCTGTTCGCCTTATTTCGAACATTAACGCACTGTTTTCTAGGCCGTAGGTCCTGGCTTACAAGTACCCCGAGGTCTCTTTCACAAGTCGATTTCTCTAGGTTGATGTTGTTAAGGCTGTATACATTATAACTTATAATGTATAATTTATAAGTATTTGTTCTTCCAATATTAAGTACGCTGCACTTGCTGGTGTTGAATTTCATTTGCCATTTTTCAGACCACCCCTGCAGTTTATTTAGATCCTCCTGTAATGCATTTGCATCCTGCCCTGAATTAATTTGCCGCCCTATTTTGGTGTCATTCGCAAACTTGCTTATGTCACTGCTGATCCCAGCATCTAGATCGTTTATGTAGATTATGAACAAGAGTGGGCCTAGTACTGACCCCTGGAGAACCCCACTGGTTACACGGCCCCAATCAGATTTAACACCATCTACGCTAACCCTCTGCGTTCTATCGGTGAGCCATGATTTTATCCAATTTAAAACTTTCCCCTCGATACCATGAGCCTTAATTTTTCTCAGAAATCTCTGATGCGGTACTCTGTCAAATGCTTTGCTAAAGTCTAAGTAAATAACATCGTAATTTTCGTCATTATCTACTACCTCAAAGACTTTCCTAAAAAAAGTGAGCAGATTTGTTTGACAAGATTTTCCCTTTGTAAACACATGTTGAGAGTCGTAGATTAATTTACTTTTCTCTAGATGCGATCGGATGCTATCTGCTATAATTGATTCAAGAAATTTCCCCACTACTGACGTCAAACTGATCGGCCGGTGATTTGACGCTGATGCTCTGTCTCCCTTTTTGAATATGGGTACTACATTTGCCTGTTTCCACAAGTCTGGCACAACTCCGGTGTCTAATGATTTTGTAAATAAATTTACGAGGGGTCCGCTAATCTGTTCCCTACACTCTTTCAAGACTCGAGGAAAAATTTCGTCCGGCCCTGGGAATTTTGTCTTCTTTAGTTTATTTATCCTCTTAAGAACATCGTCTTTTCTGATAGTGATATTCTTTAATTTCTCTTCTTGGAGTCTAAGGAGTTCTATAATTTATTTCAACATTTAATTTCATTCCTGACTATTTGTTTTATAAATTCTGCTGGAAGTTGATCAACCCAACAAGTCTTTTCAATTTTCATTTTGTTCACAGGAGCCTCAATTATTGTTTCCTGAACTTGTATTTTGAAATTCCTTTCCTTTTCGTCTCTTACATGTACTCTACCATTATCACTGTATAGTTCCTCTGCACTCTGTTCATCTCTTTCTTCTGCCCCGAACGGGATCTTTTCGTCAGCTTTAGTAAAAACAATCTGGTTTGTTTCTTTGATCGTTCTGTACATTTCCCTCCAATAATTTCTTCTATTATCATATTATATCACCAAGAATTTCATGCTTACAAAATCATTTAGTTTGTCAACACCATCTTTGATTTCTTTGTGAAATTCTTTGTAAGCCTTACTTCGTCTTATCAGTTTTCACTATAATTCCATTTTTGATACTATCACTTTTAGCCTGGTTCCTCCTTTGATAACTTTTATTTTAAATTGTTTCACTGTGCTTCAGTTTTTTGTCCAAGTCCTTCCTTTAGCAGTAATGATAATTATTATAATCTGTTTTGGGTTTCAATTTAATTTTTTGCCACTAACTCTGTTATTTGTTTCCTCAAATTCCAATTGATCGTATCCATTGTTTTACTTTTTATATATATTTTGAAGTGTAAGCTTCACTAAACTCATCACTGGAACATGGTCTGATCCACACTCTGGCTCTGGATAGGTCTTGATTTAGGTTACCGAACTTTATGAATCTTTTCTGAATTAAAGTGCAATCTAATTGCTTCCTGATAATATTGTATAAACTATTCTGGGGTGATAAGCCTGTATAAAGGTACCGAGGGTGATGGTGAAACCATGTATTTGCGATTATCATATTTGTAATGATTGTTTATCAGACCCTAGCTTACAGCCAAGAGAAAAGCAACACATATAGCAGTGACCGGAAGTGCAGGTGTACACCCATATAAGTTGACCCACCCTTCGTAATTAAACTGAGGTTAAGACCTGACCCAGCAGAGGTCACGGTCACAATGAAGAAGTTCTCACCGCCGCGTGATTAGTCAAACCGGCATCATGACCATATTAACGCAATTAGTGTTAATTAGTGACGACATCTGCCGGCCTGACACCGCCAATATAAGGGGCCGACAGCTCCTTCTGTCAAACACACAGGGAGAGACAGAACTCAGAGGCACACGGAATCACACTCGTCACAAGTCAACACAAGTCAATGTCCGGAGCGACACTTCCCTCCCGAGCACCGAGTCTCCCATATGAGACATAGTCCAGCAGCATCTGCTGGGCCTCCCTCAGGTCACAGCGAGTAATTGTCAGAGCGATCCATTAGGGTTAGTTACTTGCTGTGGGAAGTGTATCCATTTCATGTTTGTGTCCAGGAGTCATTGTCTAGTAACTTCGATATAATGATTTATTAATGTGTCCATTCCATTCAGTTAACTAATAAATAGCCCCTAAGAATATATATTAACGGTTAAATAACTAATCGGCCACACTAACAAACTTTCCTCACTTTATCATACAACTAATAAATTCTTCCTATTATTTCTACTTAGTTCGCCCTCATTACATATTGCTTGCGTTACAAAGTCAATTAATCTTTCTCCTCTGTTATTTCTAGCATCTAACCCATGTGTTCCTACAGTACTTGTGGTACAACTTTCCTCTTCCCTAAATTTACATTAAAATGACCGATTATAGTTAGACATTCCTTAAACTTTACGGCGCCTTTTGTTCTCCTTAAATCATCATGCAACTTTTCTTAAACTTCATCCTCAATTTTCATTTGTTAGTGAATTAAACTGCATTATTGCCAGGTCAATGGACTTAACATTTAAATTGACGAGATAGAACTCTCTCTCTCATATATATATATATATATATATATATATATATATATATATATATATATATATATATATATATATATATATATATATATATATATATATATATATATTAATGCTGTATATAATATTTACAGATATGGCTCCTCATCCTTGCATCAATCGTTGCGGTCGTGGTTGGGATTTTCTTCATTGAGTCGGGAGAGAGCTTCCTCCTCCGTCAACAACAAAGGTAAACACAAGCTGATAACTTGAAAGAAATTAACTGCAATTATTTTAGATAGTAAAATATTTCTGAGAGTGTCATAGCAGAGCCTTTTGAGACTTGTAACTCTCTTGACGAGGCATCTGAAAAAGGCTTTTAGATTTCTTTATTTCGATATCATGAAGAAGCTAAATCTGATGCATACAAAGATACCGTGCACTCCCACATATGTACGATTCTCACATTCACATTTCACAAATCTTTGAAATATTGTTACGCATAACTTTAGATAATTTACGAGGGCGTAATTTTTCAGTGATCACCAGATTTGTAAAACACATAAGCGAACAACAAATATTAATTCACTAGAGAGTAATAACTTTAAGTCAGTAGATAGTTGAAGTATGTGGTATATTTTCTTAGATTTTTTTGTCCAGAAATAAATCAATGGAGAGTAACCCGCTTTTTCATCTGTGTAGTGCCTGAGGCTCTCATTATAATTCTGTTGGAAATATTACACTGTTAAAGAATAATGCTATTAAATCACATACTGTTCTGAACATTGTATTCCAAATGTGAAAACAATTAAACAAGTGTTAGTAAGTTCACCATCTAGAACACATGACTTACTCTTGATAATTTTAAACTGGTTATACAATTATGATGACATTGATACAATAAAGATACATTAATATAATTGTAAGCATCGTCAATTATCAGGAAAACTTTGGCACCGCGTGTATGAGAGAGAGAGATTTCAAAATAATGTGTCATTCTGTATAGCGGTAATGTAAGAACATATATGACAGAGATATTTAAGTCATGTGGGGTGTGGGTCCTCTCACCGTGGCCACTGGACCTCCTGCCTCTGGACGTTGGGCGCTGCTGTTTCTCAAGGTGAGTGTTGTGTGTCAGCAGTACACAATTACACGGGGGAGGTTACTGTTGCTACACGGTATACGGGTGGTCAAGGTGAGTGTTATGTGTCATGAAGTACAGTACACGGGAGTTACTGTTACTACATGGATAGGTGGTCAAGGTGAGTGTTGTGTGTCCTTAGTACAGTACACGGGAGGTTACTGTTGCTACACGGTATATGGGTGGTCAAGGTGAGTGTTGTGTGTCCTTTGGTACACGGGAGGTTACTGTTACTACATGGTATATGGGTGGTCAAGGTGAGTGTTGTGTGTCCTTAGTACAGTACACAGGAGGTTACTGTTACTACATGGTATATGGGTGGTCAAGGTGAGTGTTGTGTGTCCTTAGTACAGTACACGGGAGGTTACTGTTACTACATGGTATATGGGTGGTCAAGGTGAGTGTTGTGTGTCCTTAGTACAGTACACGGGAGGTTACTGTTACACATGGTATACAGGGTGGTCAGGGTGATGTGTCCTTAGTACAGTACACGGGAGGTTACTGTTACTACACGGTATATGGGTGGTCAAGGTGAGTGTTGTGTGTCCTTAGTACAGTACACGGGAGGTTACTGTTACTACACGGTATATGGGTGGTCAAGGTGAGTGTTGTGTGTCCTTAGTACAGTACACGGGAGGTTACTGTTACTACATGGTATACGGGTGGTCAAGGTGAGTGTTGTGTGTCCTTAGTACAGTACACGGGAGGTTACTGTTACTACATGGTATACGGGTGGTCAAGGTGAGTGTTGTGTGTCCTTAGTACAGTACACGGGAGGTTACTGTTACTACATGGTATACGGGTGGTCAAGGTGAGTGTTGTGTGTCCTTAGTACAGAAAATTTCCAGCATTATATTTTCTGTGATATTTCCATAGCAAGTGGCCTGATTATGAGAGCATGATTTATTCGTGTACATTTTATATCTTAGACTAACACTAAGTGAAGCTCGCGGACTTAAATGTTTTTCTATGCTATAATAACCTCAATAGTTCAAAACATTGTGCTTCAAATATCTTCAGTCTTCGGTAAGGCGACGTCTCGACATCGACACTTGTCTGAGCTCTACTTGCACTTTTTATATATTGAAAGTTTTGACTCATATTATCACAGCGTTACTGTATTGTTACTTGCAAGTGTAATACATAATAACAGTTACCTAATCGATGCTGACACTTAAGTGTTTAAGGTCGACTGTTTTAAGTAAAGTGTGAAAAGGTTATCACAAGTTTCACTATAATCTTATTGGTATAACTTCTATCTATCAACAGCGTCAACTTGGTCGCCACAGAGGGACTCTGTCCGACTTCTTTCTGGCCTGTGGCTGTTGACATCAGTCATCTTGAGCCTAGTTTACCGCTGTAACCTGAAGGCGATGCTCATCATGCCCAAGATTCAAGTCCCCTTCAACAGCCTCGAGGAGTTGATGGAGACGGACATACCAGTTTATATACCTGAAGGGACGCTGGCTCATGAATTTGTAATAGTATGTAGATCTTTATATGTACCTAATCCAATGAACCCTTTTCTTCTCTCCCTACTCTGCTTTGGATAGATAAAGTGAATCAGAATAGTAGTAATGTGGAAGTTTCAGACAACCGAGGCACGTGTAATACGATTAATTTTGAGATTGCGGTACAACTGTCTTGAGTATCATATTTATTAACAAAATCTTCGTATCATCATAAATAGAATGATAGAGAAGGAGAGAGTTAGATGTGATAAGTTAGCAAGTCACCGCTGGAGAGAGACAGGTGAGGGGAAGTTTGGCTGGACCAGAGACAAACAGTAGGTTGACAGTGTTTACTGATGGAGAGAGAGGCAGCAAATATACTTCACTAAAATACCGAGAACATAAGTAGAAAGGTGAGAGAGAGAGAGAGACGAAGCAAATATACAGGGAGGAAGACAATGACGAGTAGAGAATATAAAGTTAAGTAATTAGTGTGATGGTTTGGCATTTAAATTATTACACAACTGAAAAATAAATCCTATTGGTATGGGGCTCAAAACACTAACGATAAAAAATAAAGCTACCTGTATATCTGAAACTGCCGCTCACACTGACGATAATGTTACTGCATTTTAATGTCTCCAAGTATCACATAAACTAACACTGGGCTAATAGATTATATCATGAAGAGAGTATTTAAGTACACTAATTGTAGTGCAATATTCGTGTATGAAGGTCCTAGGTATAATAATAATAATAATAATAATAATTAACGGTTTATTGAAAGAGCTTGGCAGCCAGAAGGCTGAACATATACAGTTACATATTTGGGGAATGGGTTTCGAATTATAAATAATATACAAGTAACATAAGTGATACAAATAAGATATATAATAACTAGATGGGGAAAAGCTCAAACTACAGTGCATTTCAACATAATGACAGTGCAAGAAGTAGTATTTACTGGGAGTGAATACACTGGTTTATTACAAGTTATTGATAATTTTTACAATGGTTGGGACTGGGCTGTTCTTATAGCGATCAGTTCGTGCACGTATGGGCTGGATGCGATTTGTGTGCGTGAACATGATTCTCGAGCTAGGGATCTCAGGTGGTGTGGGAATGGTGTGAGGATTCTTACCAAATTTGCAGATGAGGTCGTGGTGATGGTCAGTGAGAGTCGAAAGGGTCAGTGTGTTGAGCGCTTCTTGATATGTGGAGTAGGAAGGGGAGAGAATAGTCTTGCATGCCCTCCTTTGCACCTTTTCTATGTGTTTACGTTGTGTGGCATTTAGGGAGGAAGACCCGGTGGGGGAGGCATAGGTGAGCTTAGGAAGTATGAATGTTGAGTAGACACTCGGGTGCAGGAACTCCGAGGGACTTGAGTCGGCAGAGGAGGTGGAGACGGAAACTGGAGGATTTGACATCTTCACTGACGTGTGGTTTCCAATTTAGTTTGTTGTCTATGGTGACGCCGAGGAGCTTCGTGGAATCTTCGTGGAATCTACAACCTGGAGTGTGTTCGGACCTAAAGTAATGGAAGGAGGTGGGACAATGTCGGAGGAGAGGTTGATGTGCATAACCATGGTCTTGGTATGGTTGATGGTGACATGGTTGTTGGTGGCCCAGTTTTGGAGACTGTTCAATAAATCCTGAAGGGCGGTATAGTTGGGAGTAGAATTGTTGACGCTGATCCCAATGGTGGAGTCGTCGACATATTTCCAGCGAGCAGGGGTTTCTCTTAGGGCATCATTGATGAGCATAAGGAAGCAGAGTGGTCCCATCTTGATGCCTTGGGGGACGCCACAGGTGAGTGACTGAAAGGTGGAGACAGCCCCTCGGAAGCGTACAGCTTGGTCGGTCACTGAGGAAGTCTGTAAGCCATGGTATAAGACTTCTCCGAAGCCCGGAGGTCAATAGCTTTGTTGATGATTATATTGTGGTCGACTAGGTCGAATGCTTTAGTGAAATCAATGAAGGCGGCAGCTACAGACGTTTTTCGTTTCTCGAGATGGCGGTATATGTAATCGAGAAAGCTGACAAGACAGTGAGTGGTGGAGGAAGTTTTCATGTTGCCAAATTGCTGAGGGTCTACGACTCCTGCAATATCAGCATAAGCCCAGTCGAACACAAAACTTTCACAGATTAGGCTGGGTATTGGGGTGATTGCAATAGGTCGTAGCTGATTTAAGGATAGTGGGCTGGTTGACTTGGGCACTGGTGATACATAAGAGGTCTTCCAGTCAGCTGGGCATCTGGCTTGACTGAGAGAAGCATTGATGATGGAGCATAGGGGTTTAGCAAGCTCCGGGGAGAACTCCTTGAAGAGTTTCATTGGTAAGTCAATGGGGGTGGTAGAGCGTTTTAATTTTAGTTTGTCCAGGCGTTTTGCTACTTCAAATTCTTCTACTAGGTCAGTGGGAAGGGGGGCTGGTAGGTAAGCAGGGAGAGTGGTTGTGTCAAGCCGGGGGAGCGTCTGGCATATAGTAGCGAAATGGTTATTTGTTTGTTCAGCTGCGTCAACATTAGTGAGATGGCTAAGGAAGGGGAGGGGGTGTGTCTTATTGTTTAGTCCACAGAGTTCTTTAAGCTTACCATACCATTGACTGATGTTGGTCTGCTTCAGGTGTTGTAATTTGGTTGGGTAGTGGGACTTCTTTGCAGTGCGTATTTCGCGGATGACTCGGTTGCGAAGGGACCTGTAGCGGATGTGGTCATTGAGATGAAAGGCTCTGTCTCTCTGTTGCATAAGTCTTTTGATCCGAGGTGTGATCCAGGGCAAGTCAGCTGGGTGAGATCTGACGGACTTCTCGGGGAAGAAGTGGTGGTGAGCTTCCGTGGTGGTGTTGGTATAATTTATCCATTTGGTTTCCACGTCATCCACGCTAAGTACCTCAGTCCAGTTATGGTGAACTATCCACTACCCGAAGAGGCGCACTGCAGAGTCAGTAATCGGCCTGTAGGTCTTGATGTAGGGTCTCTGTACTTGAGTGGGAGTGGCAGCTGGGGACCAGAGCACTGATAAGTGTGTGCTAAACCCGTTAGGAGGCAATGGTTGAGGTGGTTGGTACTGGTCCGCTAAGTCAGTTAAGATAAGGTCAAGGGTATTTTGACCGTGTGTGTGGGGAAGGTCACAACTTGTGATAGTGATAGCTGGTCCTGGATATCAGTGGTGTCAATTTCATTATAATCCCCACATAATACTAACTTGGCACATGGGTACCTAACTCTGAGGTGGTCTGAGGTGATAATGAGATGATTGATAAGAGTGTCTCTGGTGGGTGAGCGAGGCGAATGGTATGCCACACAGATTATGATGGAAGCAGTGTGGCGCGGGTGGGAATGTGGCACAACACGTACCCATAATGCTTCCACATCTGCTGGGACTTGAACATCTAGGCGTGACGGGCGTAGGTCATCTTGACAGAAGAGGGCAACGCCCCCTCCGCATCTATGTGAACGAAGGTGATGAAAGAGTTGATATCCCTCAATATGACACGTTTCAGGCACAATTTGCCAAGCCTCACATATGGCAACGACGCTCGCGGCGGCTGACCTGACTGTAGTTGCCAGCTCGTCAAACTTGTTCGCTCGGGAAGTGACGTTGGATAGCAGTAGAGACGGGAGATCATACCATATCCGTGGAACTTCAGTGTAATGGTACGGTCTGTCAGGGGTGGGTTTCTCCGGTTTCCTAGCGGAGGATACGGTCCTAATGGGCTTATGTGTATGACGGCCTTGTTTATGGCTACGGGCGTGGAATATGTTCAGTGACTTGAGTCGCGCTATAACACTGCCATCAGGATAACCGTTCCCACGCTTTAGATGGTACAGAGTGTGTCGGGAGTAAGTGATTGGCGGCCATCTGTTGATATCTGTTGTGGGCGGACGGAAGGGTTTGTCACTGACGGCACTTTGAGGGCCACTGACACTGGTAGACATCTGTTAATATTTGTCAGTCGTAAAGACCGTGGGTCTTTGTCCCTGGTGCTTGGGGTCGCCGACACAGTTTTCACGATATATGTAAACACCGCGGTGGTCCTTGTCACTGGCACTTTAAAGGTGACCGATAAAGTGCCCACTGTCTGACTTTTCCTTGGGGTGCACTATCGGGGCACTGGATGATAATCACTTATTGCACTGAGGACTTGAATGTTTTGCTGAGAAAGTCCCGGTCAAGTTAGGTCGGGTCCAGTCACACTCAGTATTACACTGCTGTGCTTTAGTGCTTTTCCTTAAGTGCACTATAGGAACACTGCTCGGTAATCAATCGTTCACTAATCACTAGAATGTTTTGCTGAATAGATCCCGGTGTAGTAAGGCTGATAGGGCGTTGGGATATAGCAGGGAGAGGGGGCAGGGCCAAACAGACTCGGCCTGGCTGCTAAAACCGGGAGCGCCTTCGGGGCACGTCTTGTCTCACTGACGGTTGACAAGGTATGCGTATGATGCAATGTTAGGATACGACGTTGCAATTTTATTCTTTTTGAGAGCAAATTGGATTTATTATTATCAGTGTCCACTAGAAATTAAACCTAAACCTTCAAGTATTATATGTATAAACTTGTGCTCTGTCTCCTCTTGGTAATCTCCATGATAGACAACAACAGTTTGATAATTTATTGGTTATGGGTTGGATCAGTTGTGTTATTTGTCAAGAAACATTAGAATCATCAGAGTTATCATGTCCTCAGAGACGTAATAGTTTGACTACCTACCCTGTGAACAAAAACTCTGGAAAATGTGGTTCATTTTAAGAAAATGTATGTCTTACTAGTGGATGATGACTCAGTTGGGTAAGGTACGCCAGAATACGTTACGGTAAATGAAGTTTCTTTGCATTGTTCCTGCCGTCAGAAATTTAACCAATCAAAATAAGAGTCGGAAATAAAGTGGAAGAGGAAGCAGGACTCCGAAGAAACACCATCTACTAATGAGGAATTGTTTTGTTAAGTGCACCTGTCAACAGTCTGTAGTAACAACACTAAAGCAAATGACTACGCCAAAGGGACTCTTCACAGTGGGTACTTTGGATAATCTTGATTATATCTCCTCACCAACGACAGACAGATGTTCCTTCCATGGCTCAATCATGTCTATATTCCCGAACCTAACCTAACCCAACCCAACAGAATCATAAAGTTAAGAGAGAACCAGATGACTTTCACATTGAAAATCCAAATCTAACACCTTCAGATTCTTTGCCATAATACCTGCTGTGTAAGTGAATGGAAACATTAGATACTTCTGTGCCTGAAATCATTGCTGCAGACATCAGTAGTCAACCGCAACAAGCTAAGGCTAAAGTATATTATTGGATTCAAAATGCTTTGAAAATATTGAACGAAGATTATCTCGCGAAAGGTCAGATGTTTTCTTGCTTATCATGCATCTCCTCGTGTACAGGTCGCTCCACCCGGCACCTTGCTCCACCGAGTCAACGAGCGGCTCATAGTCCACTATGATCCACCTCGCGCAATACAAGATACCATTGATGGGAAGTATGCTGCCATCACCACTAATTTTGTAATGGCTCAAATATTTCACGATATATTCTCACTGGTAAGACTTGTTTATATAATAAAGAAATCAACGTAGACTGCACAGTAAACAAACATGTGGCATAGAACTATAAAGGTCAAGAACCTTCACTTGATATTATGAGCCCTTATAGTAGATCTCGCGGACATCTTGAGTACATGTAAATATTGACCCTGGCAGTAGTTAAGACAAGTATGATTGATTCTATTTTACAACACTTTTCAGATTCGATGTTTTGCTGAACGTCATATTAAAGAAATACATTAAAAAGACCAAAATATAATTTTGTTTATTGTTATCATTCCAACTTTTCGATAATTACGTTTTACACAATTTCTAAATTCTTACAACAATATTTGCAGATGTTTCTTTATGCCTTCCATGTTGATATACTCGTATGTTACAGACAAATTCCTGCCCCATGTATATTGCGTCTGAGCCTGTCTTCACCGGGGTCTCTTCTGGCTTCGCATACCCCAAGGGCTCGCCTCTCAAACACGCGGTAGACCCCATGTAAGTTTAAACTGTTCTAAAAAAGTTTAATATATATTTTCAGAGTGTGTGTGTGTGTGTGTATGTGTGTGTGTGTGTGTGTGTGTGTGTGTTTATAAGTGAGGTAAAAGGGATGTGCAGGAAAGAGACTGGGAGACGGAACAGCCACACTTGCAGTAAACAGGGAATGTTATGACGCTTATGACGAAGAGGAAAGTATTTAGGAGAAAGTGAAAAAATAATAATTATAAATAGCAGAGTCGATAAGAAGAAGGGCGAAATTTTGCGCCGGGGTGAGTTACAGAGATTAACTGTACGTTCCCACTCTGTTGGGAGTGGAAGACAGTCTCCGATAGAGCGATTTTTCTCATCTGAGAAAAGATGCCCCGCCCCCTTCTCAAGGATTATAGATGATTGGTGGTTTCAAACCTGTCCGATTTCGTCCTGAAGTAATGATGTATTTCTAAATGAGTTTTATTACGAACCACGCCATCTATTGTGTCATGATCTAACTACCCAGCACTACCGAGCAAGGCCATCTAGGGACGAAACCCGAGTATGACTAGTCTTAGTCACCACTCCGGGTTTCCTTTCTCCATATCCTGGTTGTTGCGTCACCTCCTCCAACTCTTCCTCATCAGCTCCTGATAGAGGAGAGTTCAGTTCACTCTGGGAAGTGACCACACTTGGATTACCTATCCTGGAAACCTACGGCACAGTGACTACCTACCATCTTCTTCAATACTCAGCCCTACTCGTCAGACACTTCAGCACCGCACTTGAGTATTGTAACCCTATATTACCTCCCACCTCCACTTGCTTCAGATTGTTGTATGTTGTATAAATATGTATATACTGTTAAGCCAAAGTTGCGTATGTTTAAGTTAAGTATGGTTAAGGGTAAACTATAGAAAGCTGGATATTTTGTTAAGGAATTTATTGTACTTTATTATACACAACAAAAACTCGCATCCTTTGTCTACCCTTTTATAGTCCGATTGTCTTTGTTTGTTTAGTTTTTTTTGTTGTTGCCTGTTGGGATCTGGGTAGACTTTTAACTATATTCTAAACCAGTTTCTAAATCCCAACTCGTAACAGTTTATTTATAATCGTTGGGATGACCGTTTCTGACGAGAAAGATATTTAGCTAAATTATATAAAGATACATACAGTACATTACATTGAACATTTCAATGTAATTCTAATCTTTTAAAATGTTAGTTTTTGTACCAGAGTATAAAAGTTTATTCATGTATAATACTTCTGATAAACTTCCTATGTACTTATGTTTGAAATAATGAATGTACTGTATGCATCTTTATATAATTTAGCTAAATATCTTTCTCGTCAGAAGCGGTCATCCCAACGATTATGAATAGACTCATTTAGAAATACATCATTACTTCAGGACGAAATCGGAAGGATTTGAAACTGCCAATCAGCTGTAATTCTTGAGAAGGGGGCGGGGCATCTTTTCTCAGCGGACAAAAAACACACTATAGTGGTAGTTCACATTGATACAAAAAAAAATAAAAAAATGAACAAAAAATACCTGTCACCTATGGAAAAAATACAGTAAATAATTGATAATGATTCTTGTATAACTCTTTTACAGTCTTGGTACGAGATGACTCAAACTTATAGTGAAGGGGGAGGGGTGTACAGGAGAAGCCAGTCCACTGTAACCTGGTGAAGTACTGAGTCTAAGACGAGTACAAACAAAAGTAAACTAATATGTTGTTTTTGTATTACAGTCTAAGAAGACTTGTGGAATTTGGCATCCTCCAACATGTATTTCTCTCTGCAATACGGAACGGAACAATTTGTTTGAAGCCTGAGTCGTTCACCAGAACCAACAACAGCCTCCGGCCACTGGAACTGGAGGACTTCTATGGTGTATTCGCTGTTTATGCCGGAGGTGAGGAACCAAACATCAAGAAGGGGAATAAACAAACTGTAGTTCAGTATATAAAATGACAACGAGAACTTCACTTGATGTGATAATAAAGGTTAAATATCAAAGTACGATCCATATAATTATAGTCTTCAGTGTATGAATGTCATGAAATAACAAAATAAAAACTGGCAACTAAGGAGTTGTAAGGAGTTTTGATCACAGCAGAGGTCGAAGGTAGATGTTGAGAGGCAAAATGTAAGGGAGCAGCCCTGTGGGACGCCAGTATATTGAATAACGCTGATATTGCTATAATTTTTTGACGTTGAGAAAAAGTTGAAATTTAAGCCGTTGTACATACATTACTCTAAGTTGGGTCACCATGCAACAAAAACACAACTTCTGAGAATTTATTCCATTTATATTTATATCCCGTCGTCATGTGTCGTGAACCACTTGATAAAAGTTTCTGCCACACCTAACTAGGAAGTCAATCAAGGTGCCATCGTCATATCTGAGGACGAAAGACCACGGCAGTCCAGTCGGAACGTCCCCGGGCTGTCTTTCTCAATTTCCCCGATTTTTAATCCCGCAGGCCTATCATTTTTTTTTGCCTGGACCTTCTCAATTAACTTCTACCAAATGATTCCATAATCCTTTCATCCATACTTATTTGGCAAGATTATCTCGTTCCTCTAGCTAACATTCGTGCTTCTTTTGCTTTTCTGCCACTTTCAATTATTAGCATTCACCTGCACCACCACACTACGAAGGCCTCGAGTCATCTGGCCCTGGTTACTCAAAAGTATATACGGTATTGTATCTCCCAGTTGACTGTAACTCGACCCTTGAAGTTGTAAGTCCTCTCTGTAGCGATACTCAAAACAAAATATCTAAAATTATCAATATACTCGCATGTTATTTTAAATAAAAATTATTTTTTAATTCAGTTGCAGAAAATCTATTACTAAAAGAACTTTAATACGGTATCTTGCTCGAGTATAGGCTGTACTCTTGCTAAGGTTTTCGTCAACATAGAATGTAAACTGTCCTACAGTATGTTATGATAGAATCTGCCTGTCGATGAACCCTGCAAATAACCTCATGTAAAGATTAAATTGATGATGATAAATAACTTTCAGCTGAAGTTACACGTCGACAGAAGCGGAGCAGCCTTTAGGATATCATTAATATGTGACGCTGGACAATATTTCATAACTAAGAAGTGATCATCTCCACCAGGAATGGTGTTGGCGTCTGTGGTGCTGCTGGTGGAAGTGGCTCTCAAGGGTCACCAGAGAATCAAAGGTCGGCCTGAACTGAAAGATCGACCTTGACTCAAAGGTCACCCTGGACTCGGAGGTCATTCTAAACTCAGAAGTCACCCAAATACAGCAGTGACCGTCACCACAGATGATGTTGGCGTCTGTGATGTTGCTACTGACAGTATCAAAGGTCGTCTACACTTGATCACTGATCATCACCTTATTTTGACACTCGACATGAAATAAAACTATACTTTACTTGAGAAAACTCCTATACAGTACATAATAATCTTAGAGCAAGTCATCTGAGTTTGATTTTCCATTTAATAAGTTTCAAGATATGCAATATATTTATTAAGTGTTTGGTAATGTTTCCTATTGAATACGAACATTCCTAATTAAAAGCATCGGAAAAATCGAAGGAATGAATCAAGGGACTTACACAAAAGATCCAATATAGTAAAATTCTGCACTGATCCAACCAATGAAGGGATCATCATTATAAAACTGATATCACATTACTGATGTATTTTATCTCTCGATGTTGTAGATCAGAATTTTGAACATATTTAGGGGGTCATGGTGAACTGAAATAAGTGTCTGAGTGACTTGAGCTATTAATTGACTGCTTCGTTTTATGATCTTGTTGAGGGAAATAATAGGGGCTTTGAAGCTTACTGAAAAGCCCGTTATGATGCGTGTAGCGGGTCACTCTCACGTTGTCGGTAATATGGAACAGTCCTAACCTAACCTAACCTAATTCTTGCTACAACGACTGGGACTCTCAATCCATAATGGTTAAGTTTAGCTGGAGCTACTCGTCTCACTCTCTAATACTGTACTGCCTTCACCATTAACACACCCACCACCCCCGAACACTCACTCACACATTCTTGTCAGTTCTTTCTCTGAGGTTTGATTTGGTATTTCAGATGAATATGTATCAAGATATATAACAGTTAGTGTATTAGTACATATAGAACTACACATTTTTATTCTCTCTTTTCTTGATAATTTTAAGTAGCATTACCAAACACAAGGTGATTATATATAGGTTGAAGCAATTGATCATAATTACGACCAATCATAACATAGTAAGTTGATTATCAGAAAAGGTAAGGATAGAAACACGAGAGTTAGTTGATTTTTTTATTTCACGTGATTGAGTACAGAGACAGGTAGTCATTAGTGACAGGTGTGTTAAAATAGTGATTCTCGCTAAGATATATTCATTATAAGTTAATTCAGAACTCAAATTCATTATAATCAGAATGGACGAGATAACGGTTCTGGGTAAACACAAAAAATACTCTCTGCCACGTTCGTAGAGTGATGTGGTATACTGTATATAATTTGTAATAAAAGTTTAAAAGTCCTGGGTCCAGATTCACTAACACTGCTGAGATACGAAGTCAGTCGATTATAATTCACCTTTCAGTTCTCCCTCAGAATTATGAATATATAATAACAAAAATAATGTTATTCACACTTCCAGGAAATTTGAATTAATTTTAGGTAATTATATTCAGAAATGTAATTTAAATTGGTATTTTTTTTAGATTTGATGTTCTGACTAATAGTTTCATTCGGATTTTAAATTCTAATTCCACTCAGTTTTTGTCATGCAGAATTTTAGTGATATCCCGATTAATAAAAATTAAAGACACATCGCTTTCTAATACAACACTGAAAAGCTTCTGCTGTTAACATCATATGAGAATCTAAAATGTGTGAATCATCCTTATAACTTACATAATGCCATCACTCTTGTAAGGTTCATGACACTATGTTGTGAAACATTACTTAAGGTTCTTAAAGAACAGCATTCTACCTCGTTAATTATGAACTACAAAAATACTCCAAGAAGATGTGTTGCTTCACTCCAATTCACTTACAACATGAAAGTATTTTACCTCATGTTGGGTGTTAACTTGAGGCGTTAATGCAGATAACCTTTAATGTTTCCAGCAGCAGCACCACCACCACCACCGACCCTCAGGTCAGTGTTGTAGTACTGTATGACCTTAGACACCACGATTACCTTGGAGTCTCTGGCGACCCTTGAGAGTCACTTCCACCAGCAGCACCACAGACGCCAACAACATTCCTGGTGGAGATGATCACTTCTTAGTTATGAAATATTGTCCAGCTTCATAGCTTAAATATCTTAATGATATCGTAAAGGCAGTGACAAAAATATTGTTGTTTACTAGTGCAGTACGTGCAGTATATAATTTTAATAACAGCAGCAATTTGGAATATTAGAACACTGGAAATGTGACGAAAGAGGTAAAACTAATTATACTCAGAATTAAAGGTGATGATATTAAGTAATTTAGAACATCTAGAAGCGGTATGGGACAAATATATAAAACACTAATAATATAGATCATAATCCTGAAAAGAAAGGGAGAAAATTTATCTTACGGAAATAACCAGTACATAATTTACATACACGACAACACACAAACATTAAGTCTGCCTGATCATTTATTGTGGAGCCTTAAGGATAACTATAGATCCAATATCACCTATTATTTTAGGATATTATTAACACACACACACACACAGTGGATCAACATCAGGTGCACGAACTCTTCAATATCACCAAAGTTATAGTATCTGTGGCCCAACTACCAACAGCGTGGACCCCCCTTGGCTCATTTGACAGTAAAGGCCAAAAAGGCATCCTTCACTGCTGGAAAACGCATTACATTCCTCCTCTCAACCGAAACTGTGACGTGGATGTCCAGATTACTCAACAGGTCTCTCAGCACCCGGGTTTGGCGCACCTCGACAACCGATCCATCTTATGACGAGGAATCTAATACCATCAGTTTGATACAAAATCGTAAATCAATGAACGTGACAGAATTTTTATTTCCACCCATGATGAATTTCCTCCCACAGTTGCAATGCGACTTTACACCATATTGTTGCACCACTGACGTAATCTATGATGATCGCCAGACAGAATATCAAACAGTAGTATTACCTTACAAGGCTTTAGTCAATCTTACTAAGGTGTTTTCCCTTGTCAACATGGAAGACCTATGGGGATCCTCAGTGGCTTTGGCTGTCCAGCACAGTTATCACTACTGTCAGATAATTCCATTAAGAACTGAGAAGTGTAGTCCTTCATAGTGGCACCCAGTCAGAATATTTCTCTATCCAAAAGGGAGAAAAATATGGCGCTAACCCTCCATTATCTTGGCTGCTTTCCTTACCCACGCCAATGCCAGTCTAGCCAGCAGGTTGAACATCCAGTATTAGGAAAAGGGACTTTTTAACATAAGATGACTACAGGAAAAGAAGAAAATATCAGCCGCCTGCATCATTGAACTTCAGTAGTAGATGACCTCATCCTCGTCGCTTACATGGAACAGACATACAAAAGATCCTGGAAACGAAGACGTGTCTATGCGCTTTATCACCTACAGTATAGCATCTTGAAGGATATCATATAACTGATTTGTTTGTTCATCATCACATTCATTAGTTGGTTTATATTGCATTGACTTGTTTGAATTTTTTTAGTCAGTATTTTGGTGTTTCATTAACTCTTCCTTCTTTTGGGTTCATAACTAAAATAACTATTTATCATGAAACTTATCTAAATGTTAATTAATCTCAAATACAGGTAAAGCAAAACCAAAGAGTAAAACAACTTAATATGATTAGGTTAAACTATTTACAATACTCGTACAAACGATAATGACGAGATAACAAAAACTTGAGATCTGCTGAGAATGAAAATGTACTCATAGACACAACATAACACCATTATTCTAAAGGAATAAATCCTTAAACAAAACGTTACAATGAAGGGCAGTAACATAACTCCTTGTTCTAACATAACAGTTAAATCAATTACAATACACTTGACTTAATGGAGCAGGAACACCATAATATAAGTGAAGACAGTTCACAATAACAATGTATTTCATTATGGAGGAGAAGGTAAGATCCATCGCCGGCAACCATACTGTCCACAACCTGACATATTTGTGTCTGGTAAATAATCAGATTGTCATAATACCTGTACTAAATGGAGCCCAATTACATCAAGAGTACAAGAGTAACCAACCCATCATTATAGCACTACATCTACCCGATTATAGAAGACCTTTGTCATCTTCCTCATACTCAGTTCTCTTATTTCATAAAATGAATTCAATAAAGAGATAAATATAGGATGACCTTAGCGACAGGGCTCAGCGGTTCCTCACCTCCGGCATAAACAGCGAAGACACCGTAGAAGTCTCCCAGTTCCAGTGGCCGAAGGCTGTTGTTGGGTCTGGTGAAGGACTCAGGCTTAAAACAAACTGTTCCGTTCCGTACTGCATTATCATATGCATGTTGGACGATGCCAAATTCCACAAGTCTTCTTAGTCTGTAATACAAAAACAACGTGTCAATTCACTAAGTACTCGTCTTACACTCAGTGCTTCATAAGGTTACTGTACTGGCTTCTCCTGTACACATCACTCTTCTGTGCAAGTTTTATTTATCATTGTTTTAATGCAAGGGCACCGCCAAGACTGTACTGTACTTAAATTACTTGCGGTCAGATAAACATACTTTACCTAATCTAACGGAAGGTAACCCTAAGATAAATACACTTTACTTACTCCAGTATACAATATTTAAGTGAGAAGAGAGAATAGACTGGGAGGAATGAGGATGTGGGGGAGGTTTCGACCACGTTTTTGGTGCCGCAGTGTCTGGGTGCAGGTTTATCGCGGTGACTGTCCAAACTTCTTGAGTACGAGTCTGATTATAATAATAATGATAATGATGATGATGATGATGATTGCATTGATGATGATGATTGCACTGATGATGACGATGATAATATTGATAGTAATAACATGGATGGTGATGATAATAATAATAATGGCATTGGTGATTATAATTGCTGTTGAGAATGTTCATAATAATGAGAATCAGTAGAAATGATAATAAAAATATTAATAATAATAATATTAATATTAATATTAATATTGATAATTGTACAGTAGTGATATTGGATTAACAGTAACGTAAATAATATTAATAATAACTAATGATTATGATAACGACAATATAATATTGCTACTACTGACAACCACAAGGGAAACTACTGCTGCAAACTACCATACTGTAGTTAATAGTTTGCTTAATTACGCAGGTAACCTAAGAAACGCCTAACATCTTGCTTTTTAACACCTTTCATGGTTAAGTTTAAGGTAATTAACTTTCTTTGGTTTGTCTGTAGTCTGTCTAAAATATTAAACCACACAATATACCAGACAGAAGCGTGGAGACTGTTGGTAGCTTTGGTTTAGTCGTGGTCTGGGTTGTTCGTGAGACAGCACACACGTCTTCGAAACCGTTGACTTTCGGAATAAGAAAATAATTAAAAATGTGTTCTATCGTAATTTGTTAGGTTTAATACAGTTGTATCTTATTTCTGTTTGTTTCTCATTTGTTTTTTGTTATTTAAGTGCAAATGAAGCGGGATAAACAATAGAAATAATTCTGGATATTTTTTGTTTACAGTTGACTGACATCACTGTGAGACATCGATGACGTAGGGGTTTTAAGGGTTCCGGAACAGCATTTCGATACATCAGACTCATTCATCCAAAAACGAGCGATTATACGAACTAATAAAAAGGCATATAATCTTGTGTAATACGTTGCCCTATACTTTATAATTACAGCAGATAAATACAAAGATCTCTAAAGCTACATGTGTGGAGAAACGAATGAGTAAAACACGACCAAACTCAGTCCGTTATAGCACTGAGACGAGGTTTGGCCGGTTCACCCAAGTCTTGAATCTGCATCGTTTCGCGGTTTGGGATTTATAGAGAATGTCAACAAAGGCCTTTGCATTTACAAGACGACATACGCAGTGTTGTCATTGCCTTAGTGCCGGAAAGACGTGCGCGTAGCTTATAGACAAACAAATAGCCGGTGAAGAGACTAAAATTGGCAAGGTCTACAAAGCAGTCAAGTGTTCGTCAGTGTAGTAAAGTGTTTGTAAATGTCATGAAGTGTTTGCATGTGTCACAAAGTGTTTATAAGTGTCGTAACGTTATTATAAATATTTCAAAGTGGTATTAATTTAAGTTTCAAAATGTGCTTTGAAGTACTACAAAGTTTTCATAAATATTGTGGTGATCACACGTATAATAACATGTTCGTGTAAAGGTGTAGATAACGGCTACCACCAGAAGGAATTGTCCGAATTGGTTGAATTTTTTTCTACACACTAATATCATGATATTAAACACAAATATGGAAACGACAATACATAGAACCTGACCTAACATACCCCTAGGTTGGGTATGTTAGGTCAGATTCTATGTATTAAAGAGTTAATTTATTTGTTAAACAACGTACCTTAATATTGAGGTTGATATAAATCAGCAATGGCGAGGAGGAATACATGGAAGCGTTTACCATCATTTATAGGAAACGTTTCTTGAAGAGGGATTCAGCGAGGTAAACAACAAAAATGGCGCCGGGAGCAGAATTGTGAAGCGGGATAGAGTAAATAAAGAAAGTCATCAAACAACTTTGGTGGTAGCCGTTATCTACACCTTTAGCCATGTTGTAAAGTGTTTGTTTTATGAAGTTTTATAAGTGATGCGAAAACTTATAAGTGTCACAAAGTAATTGTGGACGCCAAAAACACCTATACATGTCATAAGAGTGGCATAAAGTGTCGTAAAGTGGCATAAGGTTTTAGAGTGCCATAAAGTGTCACGTTATGTCACAAATATTCATGTAATATCCAAAAGTTTTTGTAAGTGGTTTTAAGTGCCATTTGGTCTGATAAAGTGCTATTAAGTCTAACAAGTGTCGTATAATGTAAGAGGGTTAATATTGACGACTAACCTGCCGACGAGTTATTTATTTTCTTACTCTATTGTCATCAGTGAGTACTACCTAGTCGTCTCGACGGTAATGCGGTGGTTTTATATTAAGCTTGGGTTGGGTTGGGTTGGGTTGGGTTACAAAAATTGAAGAAACTATGACCCTGTCCTCTATAGAACACAGTGAAGTGCAGCGTTTTTATAATCATTTACCATACTAAATCGCCGGCGGGTCAGTCGTCAATAATTACCACAGTTTCATAGTGCCAAAAAGTGCCATAAAGTGTCAAAGTTATCGATTAGTTATAAAGTGTCCAAGCAACATACGGTACAACAGTGTCATATGGTGTCAAAAAGTGTCGTATGGGGCTGTGAAGTCTCTCAAAGTGCCAGTGATGCAAAGTGTCAATAAAGCGACGTTAATGTTTTAATGTCTAGCAAAGTGTCGTAAAGAGTCATTAAAGTCGTCAAGTGTTGCAAAGTGTCTTGAACTATCGCAAGGTGTAAAGTGTGTCATGAGGTACAGCAGGGTGTTGTCAAGTGTCCTGCGGTGTCATAAAAGTGTCAAGACGGTGCCAGAAGGTGAGCCTGTACGGCGCCAGAGCTTCCTCTACCACCAGCACAAGGTAATTACTCATAATACTACTGTTATGTTCTTGACATATTGAACAAGTTCTTTTAATCGTCCATTTGGCATTAACTAATGCTTAAGATCATTGGTTCTACCTTAGTTGTTCCTGTCAGTGAATTGTGAATAATCACAAATGGTGTGTGTGTATGGGATAGCTGTAAGTGTGAGTTAAAACAGCTCTTTGTGGGGCATTAACGCACCAGATCTCAAGTACGTCCAAGTTATCATATCTATTGATTATCGTTGTATTCATCAGTTAAGTCCAGGTGTCCTCCGCATCCCACAACAGTTTTAAGGGAACGTTACGCTTTTCCTCTCCATCATTAAGGACATTGGTGTCTCTTCCATATCAATGAGTCAACGTGATGCCCCCACTCGTTCACGCGGTAGTCGAACCTACACCTTATCCTTACACCGTCTTTGCGGTCGTCTGGCGTTTGAGTTACTGGAGGTACACGCTCCCCGTTTTGTAAACTTCAAGAAAAACGCCATCCTTGGTTTTGAAAGACCTTTGATGTTGAAGCGCAGTAATAACATTATTACACCAACAACCCATATCTTACCCGTGTAAGTGCTGCCTTATCACTTTGCATAATAAATTTTCCAAAAGCAACTTAAACTTACATGGGGTCGAACGTTTCTCTGAGAGGTGATCCCTTGGCATAAGCGAAGCCCGTGGAGACTGCCGTGAAGACAGGCTCAGACGCAATATACATGGGACATGAATTTGTCTGTAACATACATAACAGTTACAAAAACATCCTACAAATATTGATGTAACAATATCACCATTATGTAGAAAATGATAATAACAAATTTAGAAAGTTTACAGAAGAGATAGAAATGTATTTTGGTAGTGTTAAGAACTACCTCATGTTGACTGGTCGTTAACTAGAACGAGGTAGGAGCTACCTCTAACCCATGGCTTATTCATAACCTTTTTCCTGTTTCCAATATAATTTCCAAATCAGAAAAAAAAAATATTAAAATTATGGCAGGCAACAGAACTTAAACAAGAATAAATCAAACAAGAATATAATTTAATAAAATCAGAGTAGTCACATGAATGTCTGGCCACGCCTGGTCTAAATTAAGACGTTTTTTTAAGAAGACTTACTACTTTGTGGGAGAGATTAAACAAGTGTACACGCGTGACAACACCCCCACAAGAACCTTATGTAAATCCTTTTTAATTTTTCTTAAAGAGTGTTAATGAAATTACCTTTTGTGTAGTTAAGTGAATCTTACTAAAAGTGGTGAGTACAACATTACCGTCAAGGAATATCTGTTATGAACATATCTACTATTCTTGGTCTGGTTTTCTACATTTTAATCAAATTTCTTAGAAAAATGTATTTGGATAAGATTTAAATTAGTTTCTCTGCCTGTCTACCTACAGGATATATGTTATTTTAACGGTTTTTTCTCATTTTGTGTGGAGTGGGTTCAAGGCGCAACCATGTTTAAGAAAATTATAAAAACTTCACACACAGACCTACCCATAATCATGTCCTCAACTAACAAACACAGTATGCAAGTACAGTAGGCGTTGATAGTCTCTGCTTCATATCAGTTCATTGTGCATAAGTTGATTGGTTAGTTTTTTTTTTTAATACAAACATAATCTTACCATTGAGAATAACGTATGCAGAATATGAGCCATGATTGAGTTAGTGGTGATGGCTGCTTGTATCCCGCCAGAGGTGTCCCGTACTGCTCGGGGCTCATCGAAGTGAGTGATGAGTCGGTCGTTGATCTTGTGGAGCAGTGAACCTGGAGGAGCGAACTGTACACGGAGAGAAATATATTATCCATTTGACTGTCTATTTATTTCTCATTCTCGCTCTCTCTCTCTCCTCTCTACTCTTCCTATAAGTTTTTTCTTTTTCTTTCTTTCTCGTTCTCTTCCTTTTCATATTCCTCTCTCAAAGTATCTATCTAGCTATACTGTTCTCCATATTTTCTAGTTATTTTCCTCATGTCTCTCTCTCTCTCTCTCTCTCTCTCTCTCTCTCTCTCTCTCTCTCACCTTTCTACTTATGTTCTCGGTATTTTAGTGAAGTATATTTGCTGCCTCTCTCTCCATCAGTAAACACTGTCAACCTACTGTTAGTCTCTGGTCCAGCCAAACTTCCCCTCACCTGTCTCTCTCCAGCGGTGACTTGTTAACTTATCACATCTAACTCTCTCCTTCTCTATCATTCTATTTGTGATGATACGAACATTTTGTTAACCAATACGATACTCAAGACAGTCTTACCATAACAAGGATATAATATTATGTAGTTTGGCTTCATTCGGTAAATCAATATATAAACGTTTTAAAGTATCTGAACACATAAAATAAGTGACTCAGTTTATGAATACCTTATTACATGTTAAGTTATTTTCTCACAAATTATCTCAAACTTGTGTCGTTCACTTTATACATAATGATTAAATATTTTAATTGATCCGACTGAAAAAAAGCTGGAGGAGTATGTGAAACTGATGTGCTTGTGAGGTGAGGGAGAAGGGAGTCAGGACGTCAATACTTGGATCAAGGGTTGAATTCTGAACAAAAAATGGAACTTAATAAGTCTGTGTTTTCATTTTCTGTCGTAATATCAAGATGGATAAAGGGACTGCGATGATATTAAGGAAGTTATAAAAAAGGATTTGGTTGTCAAAAAAAAAAATACAGTAGTTATTAGTGAAAGAACTGCAACCCTTATATATATACGCAAGGTAAAAAGACTAGGTCCTACTTTACCGTTGTTTCTTTAATATTTTCACCACCGACACACTTCTAAATTCTTGAAGATTAAGATACACTTTCGATAAAAATACTAATCGTGAGTAGTCTATGTACTAATTCACTGGACTAAAACGGTCTACGAGTTTTTAAGTTACGTCTCATAGCCTCATACTACTGTTCTAACCTTTTGTTGATGTATAAAGTAGCCTTAATTATCTATGGTAAACCGTAAGGATTTTTATTACACTACTCGATTGTTATGGCCACAACACTACCCAACACAATTGTTCCTGCAGATTTGCACCGGAAACAATATCAAACCAGAAGAGCGTGTTTGATAATATTGTATCTCCTACAGGTCCAAGCATAATATAAAATAATACTGGTTTATATTCCAGTTGTTTAAAGTCCATGAATTATCAAAAATTATAAGAAGATTTGACCCATTCGCGGGCTTTCTGGGGATATTTAGCTTGGAACTATATCTGAAACCATTTAGTAAACATATTAAACATGATCTATGCCAATTTTGGTGCTTTTACCACAAACACGATGATTATTTTTTCACCCTGCTCCACTAGTTGTGTTCGTTACTCTTCTTGCATTACTCATCCCTATTCTTCCTCTTTTTGGTTTCTGTCGCCTTTGGTCAGGTAGATACTGAAGATATACAGTACATACTATTACAAACTGATGAATCAAGTTGCCTTCAGGTATATACACAGGTATGTCCGTCTGCATCAACTCCTCGAGGCTGTTGAAGGGATAAGTTATCTTGGGCATGATGAGCATCGCCTTCAGGTTACAGCGGTAAACTATGCCCAAGATGACTGACATCAACAGCCACAGGCCAGAAAGAACCCGGACAGAGTCCCTCTGTGGCGACCAAGTTGACGCTGTTGAGAGATAGAAGTTATACCAATAAGATTATAGTGAAACTTGTGATAACTTTCTGACACATTACTTAAAACACTCGACCTTAAACACTCAGTATAGTATGTTCAGCAACCAGTGACAATATCAGTTAGATGACAGTTATCATAAATTACATAATTATGTCAATAACAGATAATAACACAGAGTAAGATTAAAATCTTCCTGCATAAAACAGCAGATAAAGATCAAACAAGTGATGATGTCGAGGCGTCCCCTTGTCAAAGTTTGAATATATTCGAAGTAGGATATTTTAAACTGGTGTACGCTGTATGACATAGGATAAATAATTTGTTGCAAGGAGTTTCACACAATATTAGTCCTGGTATAAATGAGTTTTGGTCGGCAGAGGGTCAGCGAAATGAAATATTAACGGAAAAGTTATGGGCCCTCCCAGATGCCCCGCGGGTACTAGTTTAGCTCGTTAGACCACTGACTGTGGAAGTGTCATAGAATATACAATGCTGGACCTATTTTAGTAAAGTCATTTATCATGGCTGTTATGATAGATATTCTTCTGCACTGAATCGCTGGGAAGTGCCTCATCACCACTCCCAGACCTTAGATGACACAAGTATCCCATCTGGGTGCACACATTACTTAACATGATTGTTGGCAACTGTTAATAGGTAAAGTAATGCCTGGTTCTGTACATGAGTACAAACTGCATAAAAGCAAAGTTTGTAAAGCGTGATGCCCAAAAGTTCAATGTCTTTGATTTATGAGGTGATGATGATGATGATGATGTCAACATTTATGGTGAATTGTGCAGTATCGTGCCTCTTAGTGAATATTAATTATTTTGTTTTAGTAGTACTGCAGGACACCAGGTTGGATGCACCCCACTTAGCTAAAGGTACAGTACGAAGTCTCTGTGCATTGAAGCTATTAAAGTGTCATTTAGTGTCATCCTCACAAATCTTTTTGATATTTGTATAATTCATTGTTTATTCTATTGTTTATTATATTTAATATTACAAATAATAAGAGTGTACATAATGCTTATCAAAGTAATTGCCCTAAATTTAACTGGGTCACTCTAGGGCTCTTGGTGTTATAGTTAAGAACACAAACACTGAGTTTATTAAAGGACTGGAAGGTCTCATTCTTGCCCATTTATTTTGAAATATTTACTGGAAACCAATCAACCACATTTTGCTCTCATGTGTCTCAATTTTTGCTTCCATAGTTGGTAACTCCAACTTTATTTCTTATCATCAAGCTATCATTACCACGGTACAGTTCTCCTACAAACTCTGCCTATCTTTCACTTAGTTTCTGTCTCCAACAAGATCTTACGAGATTTCCTTTTTTATAGTCCCATATTTTTGTGACATCTTCTCTGATAAATTTATTTTATCATTTTGTTCATTTTCCAGCAGTTATGTGACCTTTATCATCATCATTCCTTTGACACTTTTATTTACCCCGGAAAATCTTTCTCCTGAATGCATATACCGTGTAGTAACAGTAACCTCCCGTGTACTGTACTAAGGACACACAACACTCACCTTGACCACCCATATACCGTGTAGTAACAGTAACCTCCCGTGTACTGTACTAAGGACACACAACACTCACCTTGACCACCCATATACCGTGTAGTAACAGTAACCTCCCGTGTACTGTACTAAGGACACACAACACTCACCTTGACCACCCATATACCGTGTAGTAACAGTAACCTCCCGTGTACTGTACTAAGGACACACAACACTCACCTTGACCACCCATATACCGTGTAGTAACAGTAACCTCCCGTGTACTGTACTAAGGACACACAACACTCACCTTGACCACCCATATACCGTAGTAACAGTAACCTCCCGTGTACTGTACTAAGGACACACAACACTCACCTTGACCACCCGTATACCATGTAGTAACAGTAACCTCCCGTGTACTGTACTAAGGACACAACACTTACCTTGACCACCCATATACCATGTAGTAACAGTAACCTCCCGTGTACTGTACTAAGGACACACAACACTCACCTTGACCACCCGTATACCATGTAGTAACAGTAACATAAGGTAACACTCACCTTGTATACCGTGTAGTAACAGTAACCTCCTGTACTGTACTAAGGACACACAACACTCACCTTGACCACCCATATACCATGTAGTAACAGTAGCCTCCCGTGTGCTGTACTAAGGACACACAACACTCACCTTGACCCAGCCACCCGCATACGTGTAGTAACAGTAACCTCCCGTGTGTGCTGTACTAGGACCCACCTAACACTCACCTTGACCACCCGTATACCGTGTAGTAACAGTAACCTCCGTGCTGTACTAAGGACACCTAACACTCACACGTGTACTGTACTAAGGACACACAACACTCACCTTGACCACCCATATACCATGTAGTAACAGTAACCTCCCGTGTACTGTACTAAGGACACACAACACTCACCTTGACCACCCATATACCATGTAGTAACAGTAACCTCCCGTGTACTGTACTAAGGACACACAACACTCACCTTGACCACCCATATACCGTGTAGCAACAGTAACCTCCCGTGTACTGTACTAAGGACACACAACACTCACCTTGACCACCCGTATACCATGTAGTAACAGTAACCTCCCGTGTACTGTACTAAGGACACACAACACTCACCTTGACCACCCGTATACCGTGTAGTAACAGTAACCTCCCGTGTACTGTACTAAGGACACACAACACTCACCTTGACTCACCCATATATACCGTAGTAACAGTAACCTCCTGTGTACTGTACTTAAGGACACACAACACTACCTTGACCACCATATACCATGGAAAAGGGCAACCTCCTCTGTACTGTACTAAGGACACACAACACCACCTGACCACCCATATACCATGTAGTAACAGTAACCTCCCGTACTGTACCAAGGACACACACACCAGCCTTGACCACCCATATACCGTGTAGTAATAGTAACTCCGTGTACTGTACTAAGGACACACAACACTCACCTTACCCACCTGAGATATATACCATATGTAGTAGCAGTAACCTCCTGTGTACTATCCAAGGACACAGCACAACACTCACTCCACCACCCATATACCGTGTAGTAACAGTAACCTCCCGTGTACTGTACCAAGGACACACAACACTACCTGACCACCCGTATAGGGCCATGTGGTAGTAACAGTAACCTCCTGTGTATCACTGTACTAAGGACACAACGCTTAATTTGACCACCCATATACCATGGTAACAGTAACCTCCTGCACTGTACTAAGGACACACAACACACACCTGACCACCCATATACCATGTAGTAATAGTAACCTCCTGTGTAATGTACTAAGGACACACAACACTCACCTTGACCAATTCGTATACCACATAGTAACAGAACTCCGTGTACTGTACTAAGGACACAACACTCACCTTGACCAATCTATATACTGTGTAGTAACAGTAACCTCCTGTGCAATGTGCCTAAGGACAATACAACACTCACCTTAACCACCTGCATCATGTAGTAACAACAGTAACCTCCCCGTACTGTACTAAGGACACAACGCTACCTTGACCACCCATATACCATGGTAACAGTAACCTCCTGTACTGTACTAAGGACACACAACACACCTTGATTCAATTTTATATACCGTGTGTAGTAGTAACTCCCGTACTGTACTAAGGACACAACACCTTTACCTTGACCACCATATACCAGTGGTAGTAACAGTAACCTCCCGTGTACTGTACTAAGGACACACAACACTCACCTTGACCACCCATATACCATGTAGTAACAGTAACCTCCCGTGTACTGTACTAAGGACACACAACACTCACCTTGACCACCCGTATACCGTGTAGCAACAGTAACCTCCCGTGTACTGTACTAAGGACACACAACACTCACCTTGACCACCCATATACCATGTAGTAACAGTAACCTCCCGTGTACTGTACTAAGGACACACAACACTCACCTTGACCACCCATATACCATGTAGTAACAGTAACCTCCCGTGTACTGTACTAAGGACACACAACACTCACCTTGACCACCCATATACCATGTAGTAATAGTAACCTCCCCGTGTACTGTACTAAGGACACAACACTCACCTTGACCACCTGTATAATATGGTAACAGTAACCTCCCTGTGTACTGTACTCAAGGACACATAACACTCACCTTGACCACCCATATACCATGTAGTAACAGTAACCTCCCGTGTACTGTACTAAGGACACACAACACTCACCTTGACCACCCATATACCGTGTAGTAACAGTAACCTCCCGTGTACTGTACTAAGGACACACAACACTCACCTTGACCACCCATATACCGTGTAGTAACAGTAACCTCCCGTGTACTGTACTAAGGACACACAACACTCACCTTGACCACCCATATACCGTGTAGTAACAGTAACCTCCCGTGTACTGTACTAAGGACACACAACACTCACCTTGACCACCCATATACCGTGTAGTAACAGTAACCTCCCGTGTACTGTACTAAGGACACACAACACTCACCTTGACCACCCATATACCGTGTAGTAACAGTAACCTCCCGTGTACTGTACTAAGGACACACAACACTCACCTTGACCACCCATATACCATGTAGTAACAGTAACCTCCCGTGTACTGTACTAAGGACACACAACACTCACCTTGACCACCCATATACCGTGTAGTAACAGTAACCTCCCGTGTACTGTACTAAGGACACACAACACTCACCTTGACCACCCATATACCGTGTAGTAACAGTAACCTCCCGTGTACTGTACTAAGGACACACAACACTCACCTTGACCACCCGTATACCGTGTAGTAACAGTAACCTCCCGTGTACTGTACTAAGGACACACAACACTCACCTTGACCACCCATATACCATGTAGTAACAGTAACCTCCCGTGTACTGTACTAAGGACACACAACACTCACAGTGAGCAATAGCAGCGCCCAACGTCCAGAGGCAGGAGGTCCAGGCCACGGTGAGGGGACCCACACTCCCATACGACTTTCCGCCATCACTCTCACTATCACTGTAAAGTACAAGTTTTTACTCTACTGCCATACAGTATGAGATGTTGCACTATTTTGTTTTCTCTCTCCGGTTTAAAGTATTTCAAGCTGAATCAAGGTGTTTATCATCTTATTGTTAATGACGTTATTTTTATCATAATTGAAAAATGTTAAGTGTAGGTCATTTGAAATGTAGTGAAATTTGGTCATTAAGAAATATTTTAGTATTTCAATTCATAAAAAATTAGATGTTAATGATGCAAATGGCTGTAATATCTCGTCACTGCAAGTTGAACATCGTTTTCAAACACTGGGAAATAAGCCCTATCCATGTGAATACTTTGGTATGTAAATAAAGCCAAATTCGTTTAACAAATAGTGATTTTTTTACACATTTTAAGACTTTTCCTGATATTTTGTAAGTCATCAGAATCAAGACCAAATGCAAACACATATTATATTCTTCCTTTACTTCCAGCCATTCTCCTAGGACCTTCATCTGTCGCATATAACATGTACTGTACAGTACAGTATTTACACTCGTCTTCAATTGATTTTATTGCTACTTCACATCTCATTTTTAACACGTACTGTACTTGAGTTACAAGTTAGTAGTTACGGTGGAGTAGCTTTTTAAACTCATCGTGGCCCAATGGTTTAGCTCCCTGACAACCACAAGGAAAGAAACATGAGAAGATTTAAGCTTTCTATACTACCGTACTGGGAAAGTACATTATTGTACTCTGTATTAATATCTTATGATTTATATCTACAGTTATCTCGCCCAAAAAAATCTATAAATTTCAATATCAGTTTCTTTACCTTTGTTGTGGATAGAGGAGGCTCTCTTCCCACTCAATAAAGAATATCACCACGCCGACTGCAATCATTGTTAGGAGGATGAAGAGCCATATCTGCAACATGGTATGGAAATAAAGGCTCATAACTAGTTACCGATAGTCAAAATTATATTTCGTTTTTTAATTCAATAATAATAATCCATATCTTCACAACATAAAACAACTCTTACGAAAGTGGTAAAAGGTCTCACGAAACCAGCGAGGTCCGCCGCAATCACTGGACGTTGATGAGCTATCACGATGTATTCCATGTAGAGAGGTGTGCTGAAGTCGGCAGCTTGAAACCGCACATGATTCACAGGAACTGCAGTGCCTATCATTTCACACTTCTGTTAAGTGGACATGTTTAAGTTAAACAATACGATCTATGTTTTATCTCCCATAGTACAAAAAAAATAAGATAAAATAGTGAAGAAATATAAGATACGGGTTGATGGAAGTATAACAGAAGCATATTTAAGTGAGAGTGGGCGTGGTGTTCCTATTTATTTATTTTTTCTTATCTGCCTCAATTGACGGACAGCGGTGAGCTAGTGCGGACCCCAAGCATTTCTCTCTCTCTCTGAATTTTTTGTTTAGGTTTTCATTTTTAAGTACGTCTGTAATTAGTAGTATTTTTAAATTATCTCTCGTATTCAATTATTTTATTCTAAATGATTCACGGCACATTTTCTACTGTACTAATGCATGAAATCTTGTGGTTCATAATAGCGTTTCTATGATGCATGTTATGACAAATTGTACCCCTATGGTCCACGGTTATCAAATACTCCCTACATGTTCTGAAATTGGAAGACATAATCTTACTGGATCTATATGGTGAGAAAACTATAGGATATTTACATAAAATACTTAACATTGTTTACCTGAGCACAGCGCAGCACAGCACGAGACTCACCTGGCGGGTGAGCAAGCCCATCGCTCCATCCCAAGACCCGTTTGGTAGTTTATATCCTGAGCTGAGTAAGTCTGGAAGAACCCACTCGTAGCTGTAGTAGATAATGAGAAACTGCATATATCTCTCTAAAAACTGTAATATTCTTATAAATTCTCGCCACTTTTAAACACACCTGATTATAATGATTAGCGTTCTTCCAGGTTTACAATGTGTCATGGCAGTGTGTGTAAAAACAGCAATTCCTACCCACAAGAGGGTCTTAAAGACATTCAGATCGGGACTCTACGGGTTACTTATATTTACAAGTACTCCGAGAATAGTTAATGTTTATGTTTATTTTTATTTTTTAGGTTTTAGATCTTTATTTACGCCCCCCCCCCCCTACAAGGGACGGCAGTCCTATACACAGGGCAAAAGAACGCCAAACTTAATTACATAGACTCTTGTCTCGTAGGGAATCTGCATCCCAAGTTTTAGTCAAAGTTGACTGCTAGTGGGTGTAAGGAATAAAACAGTGGAACTCGTACCTCAGAGTGTGCTAAAACAAGTGAGTGAAATAGTGTTTTTCTAGAGCAGGTATTTTATGTGGTACAAAATTTTGGATACAACAGTAACATAAATTTCCAAGACATTGGTAGTTAAGATTAATTTACAGAGTTCGTCAAAGGTTTTGTTAGGTGGCAACAAGGAGCGAGCTGGTATGCGTTCTGAGATGTAATGCTGAAGGCTGTATTTTCAACGAGAAACAAATTCGACAGTGAGTAACTACAAGTCAGATTCAGGCGGCAACTACACCACTGAGCAGAGTCAGACATTTATTCCGGCCGTATTAATATTTTCTGTCACAATATTTATCATAGAGGCAAACACTAACAGTGACACATCGCTGTTCAATTTGTTTTTCGTTTATAATTTGAAGAGCGGCTTTCTTGAGAAGCGTCTTGATTCGACCAGGAGTTACGGTTGAAGTTCATTAGGGATAACGGCAATAGTACCATACACTACAGTACCACACACCACAGTTAGACAGCTCTACAGTACCACACACTACAGTACCACACACTACAGTACTACACACTACAGTACCACACACCACAGTACCACACACCACAGTACTACACACTACAGTACCACACACCACGGTAAGACAAATCTACAGTACCACACACTACAGTACCACACACTACAGTATTACACACTATAGCACCACACACCACAGTAAGACAATTCTGCAGTACCACACACTACAGTACCACACACCACAGTACCACACACCACAGTACCACACACCACAGTACTACACACTACAGTACCACACACCACAGTAAGACAGATCTACAGCACCACACACCACAGTACCACACACTACAGTACCACACACCACAGTACCACACACCACAGCACACACCACAGTACCACACACCACAGCACACACCACAGTACCACACACTACAGTGCCACACCACAGTAAGACAGCTCTACAGTACCACACACTACAGTACCACACACACCACAGTACCACACATTACAGTACCACATTACAGTACCACACACCACAGCCACACACACTACAGTACTACACACTACAGTACCACACACCACGGTAAGACAACTCTACAGTACACACACTACAGTACCACACACACTACAGTACTACACACCACAGTACCACACACCACAGTACAGACAACACTACAGTACCACACACTACAGTACCACACACTACAGTAAGACAGCTCTCTACAGTACCACACACTACAGTACCACACACTACAGTACCACACACTACAGTACCACACACCACGGTAAGACAACTCACACAGTACCACACACCACAGTAAGACAGATCTACAGTACCACACACTACAGTACCACACACTTCAGTACTACACACCACAGTACCACACACCACGGTAAGACAACCCACACCACACACTACAGTACCACACACCCTCGGTAAGACAACTCCACAGTACCACACACTACAGTACCACACACCACGGTAAGACAACTCATAGTACCACACACTACAGTATTACACACTACAGTACCACACACCACGGTAAGACAACTCCACAGTACCACACACTACAGTATTACACACTACAGTACCACACACCACGGTAAGACAACTCTACAGTACCACACACTACAGTATTACACACTACAGTACCACACACTACAGTACCACCCACCACAGTAAGACAGCTCTACAATACTACACACTACAGTACCACACACTACAGTACTACACGCTTCAGTACCACACACTTCAGTACCACACACTACAGTACCACACACTACAGTACTACACACTACAGTAAGACAACTCTACAGTACTACACACTACAGTACCATACACTACAGTACTACACACTACAGTACCACACACTACAGTACTACACACTACAGTAACTCACACTACAGTACTACACACTTCAGTACCACACACTTCAGTACCACACACTACAGTACTACACACTACAGTACCACAAACTAAATAATAATAATGGTTGCCCCTCGTGTAACGAGGATGGCCGGCCCAAGTTAACTAGTTGCATGACCCAATGTCAAGGAATAGTCCAAGACCGGACAACTCGCCAACTGCAGTACCACATTCCAGTACCACACTGCAGTAACAAACTACGAGGAAGTGTATCTCTTTGGTCAGTAAAGATGATATAAAAAATAATTTGATCATGAAAATGATTCCAATAATGTTTAGTTTTTAATTTTAAAAGTTCGTTAAATACAAACATAAACTTTTTACTTGGTGAGTCATGTGAAGTAAACTGATCATAAACTAAGTCTTACCACATGTTAAGTTTAGTTGTTACTATATCCAGGACCTTGATGATGGAGCCCCTCATGGTGTAAGGAATTGTGGTGTTGTCTACGTCCAGGTGTGGGTAGTTCTGTTGGGGAGAAATATCATATGAAGACCATAATTATCACGCTATCTCTCTCACACACACACGGTGGTCACTTTACATCAACACTCGATATGACCTAAGTAACTTGGTGGATCACTTACTAGCACGCCGCAAATTTTTAGACAAGGAGACGAGTTGGTGGGATCAGCGGTCATGCCCGTAGTGGCGGCGGTTATGTCGGTGGCACCGGCGGTCATGCCTATGGCGACGATGGCCACGGCAGCAGTCACGGTGGCGGCAGTGTTCATGGTGGCGGCGACAGTCATAGTGGCATGAGAGGTGTCCCTCACACAAGTGACTCCTCCCCGCCCTCCCGTCATTTAATGTGGTTGAATGTGGGTGCGCCAAGTCCGTAGACATGCTAGTGATAGATCTGCGTCTCGTCATTTAATTTAGTGACCTGAACTAACATTTTTGTTTGATTGATTTCGCTTTGTGAGCCACGAGCAACTTAATTACTTATTGTACCCTCCTCACTCTCACAGGCCGTCTCCAGGTGCTACCGTTACTCCACCTAGTTGTCATGAGTCTTGGTTGGTTGTCCGGGTGATATCTTAGGCACTTTTTGACCCACGAAGCTGAAATTGACACAATATTGAACAAGTGTGTTGGTAAACACGGTTACTGTGTTTGATTTTACCTGATATTTTCTACTTTTATCATTATATTGTATATCGCATGGCGTGGGGGACGGTGTCCACCGTTAGTATTACTGCTTGTAAATTGAATTCTTCCTTGTGTGTATATATATATATATATATATATATATATATATATATATATATATATATATATATATATATATATATATTTGTCTATATTTAGATCCGATCATAGGGATAATCATAACAGAAACTGTAGTAGTGGTAGTAGTAGGCTGGAGGCCACGTTATAAAAAAAGTAGTAGTAGTAGTAGTAGTAGTAGTAGTAGTAGTAGTAGATATCCACAACACTACACACCAACAAAGATGACTCACTCCCTCCAGTAGGAAGCATGAGAGAGAAAAAATTATAATTATAATTACACAAAGGTCGCTTCTTAACGATCGTTTTAATTTGCACAGTTGCGGAAATGTTAAGCACTGACATTTAAAACTGAAAGCTAATTACATTTCACTTTGAGAAAAAATACAAATTTTCCAAGGTATTTTTCATGTCTTTAGCGCACAGAAGGTACTGGTTCCTGTCTCTCCATCCGTCCGTACGTCGTTCCTCTCACTCAAGTTAGCTGGTAGAATCACGTAAAAAAAAAACCCAGGAAATTGTGTAGGTTTGTTTATACGTATCAATTGATTACCTCATTAGTGCGTTAAACGGTATGACCGATTTATATTGGGGGGATTTTTTTTATGAACACTTTATGGCCAGTGAGTGAGTGTCAGCAGTACCCCTCTAGTTCCTGCTTAACTCTTGAGTGGTAGATCACCACCACAGATAATATGATCACTTGATATTAATAGTGATATTGAAACAGTTTATTTAGCAAGAAAAATACAGATACAGAGTTGATAGTAATAACAATATTGACGTGGCTGAGCCAGTTGAGAGCCTGAGCTCTCTTGAAGGTACCTCATATATATATACTGTACATTTATTTCAAAGAAGTCTGAAGTTACATCCCGTGACAGTTGTCCCCGAGCACTGTATCTTCCACCCGGCCTAACATTGGACCATGGACAATGGATCTCACTTGAGGAACTGGATAGTTATAACTATTAGAGCTATCCAATATATATCAATTGATGGTAGTCTGGCGTTCCTGTTTCGTTTAGTTATCCTTCAGTCTCTGTTCGGCTCTCTCAAAAGGGTTGAGTTGAAAGAAAACGGTTATTATGGTACATACTCACAATACTTTTCATTGTAGATTCATCTTCTCCCATCATGAATTACATCATTAGTTGTATTAGAAAGCCGTATATGGGGTGCTGGTAGTAAGGCGGTAGCGCACTTCCTCGGTAAAGTTGGAGAACATGGTTAGCAGTAGAAATAATTATGGAATTGAACCAGAATTCCTAGAGATACTATTTGCATGTTACTAAACACGAAAATGGAAACGAGCGTGAACCTAACCTAACCTAACCTAACCTATCTATCATCCTAGCCCCCCCGACCCCCCCCCCTCCATATTAGTCACAAATTGAGGTGGATAAAGTGTTTTGATCTTCGTAGAAGTGGTGAAATCTGTCTCCTTGACGGAAACGTCTCTTGAAGAAGGATTCAGCAAGGTACCCAACAAAGTGTTGACCATGGCGACCAAAACGTGATTATACGTGCTCTGATATCTCGCCACTGTCATATATTTTGTGTGTGAACACCAAAAACCGGGTCAACAAATTTATGACTGTGGTTAACTACTGATGCTGGTACCGTGGTTCTCCATGTCCAGGCACCCCTTCCAACAGTCAGTAATAGTATGGGTACCTAGAAGTACCCATTACGGAATAATATTCAACATTATTTGTCTGTCTCTCGTTTCAACAAATACGAGAAACAGATTTTTAGTACCACGCTGAATCCCACCAGCTACCCACTGTCAGGTTAAAATCGTTCCACTTTCGCATTTTCTCTTTCCGAACATGGTAGACCTTTTCCGAATCTTTACCCGTGATACACCTTTGTGACTTGACATGACCGAACCTTCTTCATGCAACCACTTATACCCAGTCACACTACGGTCAGTAACTGCGGCATCTGTTTGATCATTACGCTATTCAGTGAAAATAAAGATACTAGCCAAACCAAAATGAATATTATGTGCCGCTTAGATCCCTTACTGACACACAGCTACGACGGGTGTTAGTATGATGGCTATGATACACTGCCTTACTTAGACATGGTGTACTTGTAGGGGGGGAGGGGTATTGCTATTCATTATTTTGTAGGGTCCTTCCCACTACTGTTAACCATTTTGTAGGGGCTGAAAATTGCTTCTTTGTTTCTTATTTTTTGTTTTATTCTTATTACTCGTTCCTATGGTTTCTAATTAAACTTCTCAAAGTATTTATATTTCGTCTGTTATCTATTTCTTAGTTATTTTACTTCTTATACAGATAGCCAATAACCTCTTACGCGGGTGGTAGGATGGCGAGGTCTGGTGCACGTGGATTCATTTGTGTTTACTGGTACCAAGGTATGGGGATGAAACAAAGGTAACTACTGTTGGAGAATGATACCCCAAACATACACTAAAGATAATTTATTAAAAATGAAGTTGAATACCTGACACCTTACCAGAACATACACACACATGAGAATTTAAAATACAAAACTGACAATAATATTAATACACTCATCGGATTCTCTGAGGTCTGCAAATTAAGGAAATACAATTTCAGTTTTGAGCAGTCGACTCATAGCTTCACACGAAGGAACCGCCAGCGTAGATCAGCTGCTTGCTTGGCCCTCAAAACACATCGTCTTAACACTATTTACACTGCACTCAAAGATAGATGAAGCTTTTAACATACACTCAATACACCTTGAATGCTTCAGCTCACGCTAGGCATATCTGACTTGTGGCTACTCATACAGGTTATAGCATAACTTTAAATTTACATTACAGAAGGACACTTCAGGCAGAAAGAAAAATTGGATAGCACCTCTCGCTAGAGTAAACAAGTCTCTCTTTAGGGGTAACTCATTAGTTTCACACATGTTCTGTGGACGGTGGAGCATAATATGAATAATTAAGTGGTGAACATACTAACCGTGCAATTGTGACTATCACACACTGAATGCGTATAGTTACCGCTGAAATTATAATGATTCTCACTAAAGGTATGAGACACAAATCACTGCACAGTACGTAATTGTGTATACTGTATATACCTCGGGCCGCTGTGTTCGGCATTTCTGACCCTCAGGTGGTGTTTGCTTTGACCAGCAGCCGCCAAATTACAGCGACTACATTTTATTATATAAACAACTAAGGATTGCAGTTCATCAGGGACTTGACTTTTGTCTAAACCACCTTTGCTATACGTTCTGATCTGAACACCATTGATTGGCTAACATTAGCTAGCTGGATGTGTAGTTGGAGTCGTATCGAGTTTTTTTTTTAATTAATGCTATTATTATTATTATTAACGATATGGGATGAGTATAAAGAGGGCTGGCTGGTATGAGCCAATACGCCCGCTACATTTTCCTTTATTTTTGGGGGGGGGTTCTTATTACAAGAGCTTAAGTCTTCTGATTAGATGAGTTTTTGTCGAAATGTCACCAAACAAATATATGTATAACAAAAGGAGAAGCTTGCCAGTGAGAGGAGGGAAGACTGGCAGGGTCACGCCGGGGTTGAGGGTCACCATCATAGTAATCATCTCTTAGCATCAATGTTCATTTATCATAATGGATGAAGAATTGGTCACAAATTTGTTTTATATTTTATTATTAATGATAAAGGATAAAACTAAACACACAGCTTCACAAAGACAACCTTTTCTCTCCTCGTTGGTAGCACTGGGTATGTAACACAACTTCTACTAGTTGGTAACACTGCTTATGTAACACAACGTCCTTTAACTATTTTCCTCATTACAAAAGTTCTCCAAAAATTATAGAAAAACTCCCAACAAATCTTTCAGATAAATTATTAAATATTCAATGACAGTTTATGGGAGATACAATTAGCGGTACCTGGATACTGTAGATTAACTCACAAAGGTTCGTAGAATAAATATTCCACGTGATTGAAGATGTACTCATGTAAATAATTTGACTCGAGCTAATGAACCAAAATAACGTACACACAGGTACAGTAATTCACGTAGCACATATCTGGAGCCGACGATGAACATACCTGGTTAAGTTACAGTCACTTAGTGTTATTGATCTTATTTTTTCACGTTACATTTCTCATTAGCTTAATTCAGCCAGTTAGGTGCATTATAACATAGTAAGTTACGAGGAATAATTCACCTCACGACAACTTGTGACTCTGGACACCAACGAAAATTTTATCTTACAGTAAGAACACCTTTACAGTGCCTGACATGGTCACAGATAGAAGAATCTATACACAAGTTCATAATTACTAAAGAATAAATAACTTATTAGTACTAAATAAATGCAACTAAACAATATAATATGCACATGAGTAAATACAACTAATATATTTTTGGGTCATCGCTGAGTTTGTCATACACGTCGTCAGTCTCTGAACTTTGACTTAATGAAGGAAGGGAGCGGCACCAGGTACAGCACCAGGTTCAATACAAACATTCCCCCGAAAAATGCAAAAGAAAGAGCAAAGTTGAACCAAAGATCAAGATCTTGGCGACCGAGATCGAGGCCGTTCTCAGAGAAGTGGTAACGCTCGAGGAGGTAGTAGGTGCCGTTCCTGTAGCGGCAGCCATACTCGGCGTTGTTGTCCGGGCAGTCAGCGCTGGCGTTCACTGGTAGTTGGGGAAGCTTGTCCAGGAAAGCTTGCTCGTGCAACACCGCTGAGGCGTACCTGAACACGATCACGTGACCCAAGTAGTAGAGCCAGTCAGGTAGGTGTACCAGCGACCTGTGACGAAGAAATGTATGAGGCAGGTTACAGGAGTGTGTAGTATAAAACCACATAATTACGTCCAGTGACGTCATATCACTGACCCTGGCACTAACTGAGAACACTTTACTAGTACTGCCTCTTGACCGCACGACTGTGCACCCTTCAACTAACTCGTTCTGACCAGCAGTGTCACATTCTAATTGACCTGGTAACTTAGCATGGTACATTAACGCTAATCCCAATTGACGGTGGCATGTCACTGGCACCAAGAGGCCTGAATCACTCCTGTCCATAAGTGACGTGTCACTGACCTGAGGGAGGCAGAAGCCACGAGTAGGTAGAAGGTGGTGAGGGCGACGGAGGTGGCACCTGCAGAGTACGAGGACTTGACGATCATCATGAGGGCGATGGTCTGCTGTTCCACGAACGCCCATACGGCCCACAACACCGACCCAAACACCGCCCACCCCAGCCAGTCAGGGCCATCCACCCCTGAGTCACCCAGAGACAGTCCACTGCCGGGAGTGAAGCAGAGATTTTATTTTCGTTGAAGAGAAAAGTGAATAAAGTACTTTTAGGGCGATATTTTGGGTGTTACACAGGATTAGAATATACTGATTAATTAAAACTTATAAGTAGAAAACAGTGTCTCTCTTCTCTCTCGTGTGTACCCGGGACTCACAAGTAGACGATGGCCGAGGCGAGCATGACACTGAGGTAGGACACAGGGAGGGTGTAGAGGCAATAGGTCAAGATGAAGAGCGGTCCGCGGTACAGCCCCTCCCGCGCCTCGTGGTAGTAACGTGTCCTGTGCTGAGCGACTGTCAGGGGTAACACTTCATTATCAACATGTGTATAGTCTAATTAGTCTTATTATTAACTGCTGATTTATACTGAATATACCAACCTAGAATATGGACTGAATGACCATAGGTGTTGCGGCACAGTCACACCAGCAGCATATAATAACTAATGTTCCCTCCAAGTTTTAACATCACAGTGCGGAATGAATTTTGTTACGTGCACTAATATCAAGACAGTCTTGTTTACCAGTAGAAACAACAGATTTATATAAAGTGTAAATATTATTATGCTTGGCGATATCTTGGTGATTTTTTTTTTTTTATTTTACAGAGGCGCATATCATTCCTCTTCAGTCTGAGAATTAACAACACATGCCATTGGTCTTGGTATTGTCGCAGGTAACAAAATTAAATCGTGTTGTGTGGGCTTGACCAGGTGACCTTGAGGGCCCGGCGGTCATTACCATTGTGTAATTGTCTTATCAAGTAACTGCAATGTATATTTTAATATCTGTCTACACATATACGAACACACACATACATACAGACACGCACACAGACATACCGCATCCAGCCCATACTACCATATACTGATCACTACAAGAACATCCCAATTCCAACCATTATAAAGATTGTCAACAACTCGTAGGTAACTTGTGTTCACTCCCTGATAGTCTCCCGTTTGTACTGTAACTGTGCTCAAAGTCCTTGTTGCGCTACCCTCTCCCCTTTGACATTATATTATATATTATGTACCAATTATGTCTTTTGCATATTTTCACCTTATGGTCGCTATATTTAAAGATATTATTTGTTATGTGAAGTAATACATTATAGCGTCAACATGTTATTGCTCTCAGTCGCTCAGATGCAAACAGTCAAATGAGACTCTTAACACACAAATACGATCATATTTGTCATTAGTAAGTCAAATGAGATTCTTAACACACTAATACGCTCATGTTTGTCATTAGTAGTATTTACAGTATAAATGAATATGGTTTAGACAAGAAAACGAAATCATAATATAGGTGTACGGACATGTTTTGGAGGTAGCTGCGGTAGCGAGGAAAGCTGTTCCCGCCAAGCAATTGAACAGCAGACCACCACGACTCTGGAACGACCTCTGATACGGCTGGAACGGGGGATTAAAGTGTGTTTAGTAAGAGGGTGGATGAGTGAAGTGAGAGGGAATATGGGTGAAGGGTGAAGATGGGAGGATGTGGGTGAAAGTGGGAGGGGGTGAAGGTGGGAGGGAGTGTGGGTGAAGGTGGGAGGGAGTGTGGGTGAGGGTGAAGGTTTGGGGGGAGTGTGGGTGATGAGTGGGTGAGGGGCGGGGATGGGTGGATGAGGAGCGGGGATGGTTGGATGAGGAGCGGGGATGGGTGGATGAGGAGCGGGGATGAGTTGGTGAGGGGCGGGGATGGGTGGATGAGGAGCGGGGGTGAGTGGTGAAGGGCGAGGGTGGAAGGGGAAGACAGGAGCTACATCTATGCAAACAAAGGCTCAGAGATAAAGCGAGAAAGTCACGTCTTTTATACTTGAATATTAGATCTTCTGAGTCTACGTTAAAGCGTAAACACACAACCAATGTACTGAGTGATAACATGTTTACAGTTAGCACAGGACGGTGAAGGATGTAATACAGTTGAGTCTCGTACCTCGAGTTGCCAGTAAAAGTTCCAGAGGAGGAAGAAGAAGGCTGGCAGGAGGAACAGCCTGAAGAAGAGCTGCTGGAGTCCCACGTAGCTGCAGGGGGACATCATGGTGAACGCTCGCCTGCAGGATGACACAGTTGAGTCTTACTGATGATGCAAGTAATGTTGCTAAGAGAAAAAAGTCTAAATTATACAGACAGTTCATGTGACTCTTGAGCCAACACGTGGAGTAACAGGAACTAAAGACAGACAGGGATGGAGTCAAACAATGATCCAGAACGACATAACAGACCCTCGCTAAACATAAGCTGAGCAACACCTTATAATTGGACTAAACTAAACAGAGTTCTGAAATTAAAGATATTTTAAACCTGTGGATGGTTAAAACTGAGCCAGATTGTTAATGATGAAAGAACCTAGAGAAGAGGTGACCTTAGAAGGGACCATAGGGCAAGGGAGCGTAGAGAAGACGCAGCTAAACAAGGGGACGTGAGGAGGAACCTGACTCACAAAAGACCTAAGCAGAGATCTGTACAGTGACCCGAGGAAACACAGATTTAACCACTGACCAAGCAAAGATGGGGGACTTGAGGATGAATATAAGTTAGCAAATACCTGGCTGGGGTAGCACTCGAGGAAGATCCTGACCAAACTACAACATAAACTAGAGCATGAATTTGGAAAGAAATAAACCAGTTCTTGACATAAATTTCTTCTACAGTTTCATAGATCTCCCTAACATCCTTGTGCTCATCAAACGCCCTGAACTTCTGCTTCACGCTCCAGTACACTTCTTTAGTGTTGTACGAGCGGCCAGTGAGCTAAGTTACCAGGGTACAAGAAGGTGTCATATGCTTTCTGGTGTGAGTTAACAAGCCCATCTTGGCCACAAATTAACACTACAGTCTACAATATAAACTACTCACAACAAGAGGGCCAGCATGGTAGAGAAAATTCCCGGTCTGCCGTAGGCGGAGAGAGGCACCTTGTGCTCCAACTGGTCCAGGTCCGGCGGTCCACCCGAATATTTACGGTAAGGTCCACCCTCCACCTTGAACTTCTCCACCAGGGCGGCGATCTGGTTATTGGAGTCTATAAAGCGTTCTCTGGAGCGGCGATCCACCGTGGACAAACACACTGCCGGAGAGGAACACATTGACACGCTCTTTAAAATAACTCAAGAATGTTTGGTATTGTTATTAAACTCCAATTGTTAAATTATTTTGTAGTGCATGAATCTCTCCTTTGTTATCGTAATTACACTCCACTAACTGCTAGAATAGTAAGAATTTAATTAAACGGTTTCAGGTGACCGATACCTGTGAGAAGCACAGGACAGGATAACACATACAGTACCCGACCTCCCTCAAACGTTTGCCTGTTGATCATCTCACGCCTGCCAGTGCCACAACAACACCAGTGCTTAGGATACAGCAGCAGTACTCAAGATACATTTGTGTTCATACATTATACACCAACTCTGAATACACTCACAAAAGCAGACATGCGTAAATTACACTGACATTACTCACAACAGAACGCTTGGAGTACTCATAGTAGTACAGTCGCATATAAATTGCACAAATATACCTTCAGTGGTACTCTCACACACGTAATGTACACAGTAGTACTCAAGGTAGTAAAGTAAGAGCACGTACAATAATACTGTACACTCACACAAGAAGGAATCAGTAGTACTCAAGGTAGAACACTTAGTACGGTTCACACACAGACAAGAAGCACACAATAGTACTCACGGTAGTACATGAGGGGGTTCTCCAGCTCCGGGCAGGGGAAGCCGATGGTTCTGAAGTAATCGATCATGTGCCTCGTGGACCCCGTGTAAACCACATCTCCCAGACACAGGTAACTCACACGGTCCAGGAACGGCAAGATGTCCGACCTACACACACACACAAACATGTACGTGAGAGAATATAAATAAAGTAAACACACACATACACACATAATGGATAAATGGGGAAAATAGACCAATACGTGGATGTTTATATGAGTGTAAATTGGGATATAAGAATTACTTGGATATGGAGAGTATAGTTAAGTTCTGAAGCAGTCTGGGAAGTATAGGTGAGAGACGAGGTAAAAGTGTACAAGAGAGAAGGATAGCAAGATATACCAACACTCGGGGGTCTAACCTGGGCTTCTCCATAGTGATGATGATGATGCGGTTGTACTTCTTGGCGTGATTACTGAGGATGGAGATGACGAAGTAGGTATTGAGAGGGTCCAGCCCCCACGCCGGCTCATCCAGCAGCACCACCACTGTTATGAACCAATACTTGGTGAGTGACAAGTGGTTAAAAAGATCTCTTATTGAATCAGTTCGTTTATTATATGGTTAAACGGTGGTAATAACTACTTGTTTTGCTATTGATTTGGGGACATTGTGAACAAACTGCCAATACCTTTTGTTTAATACAGTATTGTACTCAGGCGTTTTTGTATAGTAAAAAGTAATAACTATTGGCCTCAGAATATCTCCTAATATCAAGTGCACATGGCGTCAAAATGCCCATGATATTGGTCAGATTTACGAAAAAATCCGGGGGGAGCTTACAGCGCCAAAGCCCAGCTGAGTGGGCTCATTGTGCTCGCTCCGTTCCCCTATCCACAACTTCTTGGACCTGCCCCCTACCCCCCTTGATATTCCTGGATTCGTCCCTGAAATCACCTTGAGCAGCACCAACTGCAACCATCATGTACAGTCACCCAAAAAAGTCCTGTCGCGAACAACGAACCCCGAGATTCAGACTCGTGAACCCGAAGCAGTAGACACTGATACATTATTCTGTCCATAAATGCTTCGGATTCAAGAGTCTGAATCTCGGGGTTCATGGTTCGCGACAGGACTTTTTTGGGTGACTGTACATACAACACAAATACAAGTCCAGCGGCTGTCACCCACAAGGAAACTGGTGACGGGATGATGAGGGATAAATGATCAACCTACGTGATCTATGAGCCACTCACGGGGATCCTTGATGAGCTGTACACCGATGACCAGCCTGCGGTACTCAGAGGGCGTGAGCTGCTCCACAGGGCGGTTGGCTACCTGCGTCAGCGCCAGGTCGGCCAGCACCTGCCGCACGCGTCCTGACCTCATCGAACTTCCAATCTGCAAAGATGGAGGAGGGAAAGATGATAGTCAAGGAGGATGGAGTAAATGGAAATAACACGTAATAAGGAAAGGATACATGGGAATGGCAGATGATAACTGCAGACACGATAACACAGAGGAGATAAAAACAGTAAAGTAGAGCATTAATGCAGATCCGAAGGGTTATTATTCGGTATCACTACCCACTCGTCCAGGTAGAACTATTTTCTACCGATGTCCATTTCGCTCCCCATCACAAAGCCGCCGATTTGTACCGTCTTCCCAACGATCCTACATTAAGTAAGTCATAAAATACATTCACTGGGGTCCGCCCCTGGGCTAGGAAGCACGGAGCTACTGTAGGCCTAACGCAGGTTAGGTTAGGTTAGTAATTGTCGACTAAAATTAACGTAATATTTTCCTTCCCATTCCAAACACAGGATTCCCCCACAGGTCCCTAAAATGTCGACACGAAATCATATTTTCTGGTATATTTTGGTATGTTTCCTTCAATTCTCTCCTTCATTTCATTGGAATAATCGTCACTTATTGGTGAAAACTCTTCGGGTTTTTTGTTCATTTCTTCGAAAATTATGATTTTCCTAAGGAAATGAAGGTCAGATTCGAAGAAAATTCTCCAGGAAAATATATTTTCGTTTCGAAATCGAGTAGGTAGTTTTCCCGAATAATTACCCTTAAAAGAAAGGAGACGAAGAGAAAGAGAAGTTGGAACTAATCAACCGGATCACAGGCGTTGGTGGAAATAAAAGACAATGAATTTTCTTTGATCACATGACGATTAAACACCCCAGCTTATTTTACCAGAAAATTAAAGATTTTACTGCTAACCTAAACAAACTTAGTCTACCCTTCTTCAGCAAGCGTTAGGGTGGTTAATCTTCAGATGGAATAAGCTGGGGGGAGTTTAATCTCCAGGTGAAATAAGGTGAGGTGTCTTATCTTCACTCGATACGTTTTCTTGTGCTGTCTGAGAGTGAACAGGTAGTGTGCCAACTCGAGACATACATTATTGTAACGGACGAGACATTACTTTCCGTACTGACCTAAGGTGAGTTGATACTGACCTGACCTAAGAACGGAGGTGAAGCTGAGACTGAATTTAGATCTGAGGTGAAACTGAGGTGAGCTGGGACTGACCTTAGAGCTGAGGGAGAGCTTGGCGGAGTAGTCAAGGGTCTGCTTGGCCGTGACTCCCTCCAGCAGCTGGGTCTTGTGGGTGACGTAGCCGCAAGAGTCCTGGAAGAGCCTGAGCGACATGGGCACGTGGTTGAGCAGGATCTGACCACGTGTAGGTCCCTGGGCACGACGGGAGATCACCTCCAGAAGCGCCCGCTTCCCGCTACCTGACAACACAGATCAACGTATTGGAGGGCGTGGTGGAGGGAGTGGTGGAGGGAGTGGTGGAGGGAGTGGTAGAGTTAGTGGAGGGCGTGGTGGAGTTAATGGAGGGCGTGGTGGAGTTAGTGGAGGGAGTGGTGGAGTTAGTGGAGGGAGTGGTAGAGTTAGTGGAGGGAGTGGTGGAGTGGGAGGGCGTGGTGGAGGGTGGTGGAGGGAGTGGTGGAGGCGTGGTGGAGTGGAGGGAGTGGGGAGTGGTGGAGGTGGAGGGTTGGGGAGTGTGTGGAGGGGTGGTGGAGGGCGTGGTGGAGTTAGTGGAGGCGTGGTGGAGGAGTGGAGGGCGTGGTAGGGGCGTGGTGGAGTTAGTGGAGGGGTGGAGTTAGTGGAGGTGGTGGAGGGCGTGGTGGAGGTGGTAGAGTTAGTGGAGGGCGTGGTGGAGTTAGTGGAGGCGGAGTGGTGGAGTTGGTGGAGGGCGTGGTGGAGTTAGTGGAGGGCGTGGTGGAGGGTGGAGGGGGTGGTGGAGGGCGTGGTGGAGTGGAGTGGAGGGTGTGGGGGTTAGTGGAGGGCGTGGTGGGTTAGTGGAGGGCGTGGTGGAGTTAGTGGAGGGCGTGGTGGGGCGTGGTGGAGTTAGTGGAGGGCGGTGGGTGGTGGAGAGTGGTGGAGGGGTGGAGAGTGGAGGCGTGGTGGAGTTAGTGGAGGGCGTGGTGGAGTTAGTGGAGGGCGTGGTGGAGTTAGTGGAGGGCGTGGTGGAGTGGAGTTAGTGGAGGGCGTGGTGGAGTTGGTGGAGGTGTGGTAGAGTTAGTGGAGGAGTGGTAGAGGGGCGTGGTGGAGGGTGAGTGGAGGGTGTGGTGGAGTTAGTGGAGTAGTTAGTGGAGGGCGTGGTGGAGGGCGTGGAGGAGTTAGTGGAGGGTGGTGGAGTGAGGGTGGAGTGGAGGGAGTTAGTGGAGGGTGGTAGAGTTAGTGGAGGGCGTGGTGGAGTTAGTGGAGGGAGTGGTAGTTAGTGGAGGGCGTGGCGTAGGTTAGTGGAGGGCGTGGAGGCGTGGCGAGGTGTGAGTGGAGGGGTGGTAGAGTTAGTGGAGGGCGTGGCGGAGTTAGTGGAGGGAGGGCGTGGTGGTGGAGTTAGTGGAGGGCGTGGTGGAGTGGTGGAGTTAGTGGAGGGCGTGATGGAGGGTGGAGTGGTTAGTGGTGGGAGTGGTGGAGTTAGTGGAGGGCGTGGTGGAGTTAGTGGAGGGCGTGGTGGAGTGGTGGAGTTAGTGGAGGGCGTGGTGGAGGGAGTTACAGTTAGAGGTGTGAGTTAGTGGAGTGCGTGGTGCAGTGCGTGGTGGAGTGGAGGCGGAACTCGTGAGTATGTGGTGGAGTGTGGAGAGTTACGCCGTGGTGGAGTTAATGAAGGGAGTGGTACCCACGTGGTGGAGTTACCCGTGGTGGAGTTAGTGGAGGGCGTGGTGGAGTTAGTGGAGGGAGTGGTGGTGGAGAGTGGAGGGCGTGGTGGAGTGGAGGGCGTGGTGGAGTTACGTAACAGTTGAAGGTAGTGGAAATAACTCGGTATATGTCAGATACTAGCCGGCCCTAAAGTCACCTAGGAATGAATTTGAATAAGGTGTAGAAGCTGTTACCAACACAACAGCCACACCCTATGTTAACGAGTTGCATGACCCAGTGTCAACAATAACTCGCCAACTGTAAGGATTAATCATTACCCGGAACATGATCCACTAATTGGGTAATTTCTACCATCCCAAACACCTCTGGGTAGACAGAGGCAAATGGCTTAAAGAAGTTTGACCATAGTTGCACCCTGCCCGGATATCGAACCCGGGACCACTGTCTTGCTAGGCGAGCATGCTGACCACCATGAGAGATGACAACGTCACTTACACTACCATCACCTGGAGGTTAACTGATACAGTGACCATGAAGGATATGATCACTACACCATCTACAAGTGTAAAATAAACAATCCAATGAAAGAGGAATAATCGAATTGTATATAAACAAAATATCAAATAAAATAAATATAGAACAATCTACAGGAATATGTAGCAATAATCTAGAGAACAAATTCATCACAATATTTATACAAAAACATGCACAGTACTTAACCCACAACAGTTCGTTTACACTCTGCAATACGGATGATGATGAGGTGAACCTCGGGTCAAGTAATACTCTAAAACTTACCCTTGGAGCCGAGGATAGCCATGAGCTCTCCTCCGTGAATCTCGAGAGAGACATCCTTGAGGATGACCCCAGTAGGCACATTGCCGACCAGCTTCTGTACACATGACCCCGGCTCGACCTGAGGGAGGGCAAGGCGGTCACACTCAAACACAGACAATGATGCAAACAGCTTCTGTACACATGACCCCGGCTCGACCTGAGGGAGGGCAAAAACAAACAGGCAGATAAACTTGTGCTGTTTGAAGTAGACAAATAATAGATGATACAGACAGACTGGTTTGGTAGTACAGGCAGACTGACAGTTTAATGTTGACTACATATAAGCTTTACAAACATGATGAATGGTCACACACAGAGGCGACGTGTAGTACAGGAGACACTCACGGGTCCAGTGTGGAAGACGCTGATCAGCTCCAGCACAAATTCGCTGTTCATCATATTGATCACCTGTTGAAGAGAGACAGGTGTAAGCAGGCAGCTGGGGGTGACCTTCCTCCATCCCTCACGTATTCACTCTCACTCCCTCCCTACTACATTCACTCACTGCCTTCCTTCTTCCCTACCTTATTCACTCACTCCTTCCATCCCTCACCTATTCCTTTCCTCCATCCCTCAATTATTCCCTCTCTTCCTTATTCACTCCCTCCATCCCTCCCTTTTTCGCTTATTCCGTCCCCTTCTCAGTGTACCTCACGACCCCCCACTACCCTCCTTGTACCTTACCCTCCTTGTACCTCACGACTCCCCACTACCCTCCCTTGTACCTCACGACCCTCCACTACCCTCCTTGTACCTCACGACCCCCACTACCCTCCCTTGTACCTCACCCCCACTCCCACCCCTCCACTACCTCTCCTCCCTTGTACCCCTCCTACGACCCCACCACCCTCCCTTGTACCTCACCCTCCTTGACTCCCACCACCTCCCTTGTACCTCACCCCCTACCCTCCTTGTACCTCACGACCCTCCACTACCTCCTTGTACCTCTCCACTACCCTCCCCTACCCCCACGACGACTCCCCACTACCCTCCCTTGTACCTCTCCCCACTACCCTCCCTTGACGACCCTCCACTACCCTCCCTTGTACCTCACGACCCTCCACTACTACCCTCCCTTGTACCTCACGACCTCCACTACCTCACCTACTACCCTCCTTGTACCCTCACGACTCCCCCTACCACCCTCCACGTACCTCCCGTACCTCTGACTACCCTCACACGACCCCCACTACCTCCCTTGTACCTCCACGACCCTGTACCTCACGACCCCCCACTACCCTCCCTTGTACCTCACGACCCCCCACTACCCTCCCTTGTACTCCACGTAGAACACAAGTGGCCATTTCAGTAGGTGTTGTCTAAAGAGAAGCTTCTGACTTGTACTGTAGCGCACTGTAGAGATGGAGGTGGATCTTGGAACAGCTATCAGTAAGACCTGTGTCAATATCCGTCATCCCAACTAGTGTTAAGTTCCTGCTGACGATGACCCCTTCAAGGACGACGAGAATTTGTTTTTATTTTTATTTTTTTACAAGTGGTTGTCTGGTGTAGAAAGTGATTTGGATATACTTAGAGACCTTGGTGTTAGACGAAGCTGTTAGGACTTTTCTTTAATATCTCTATGGTAACATCTAACGTAATACTCCAACACTACCTAGGGGGTTAGGTTAGTGCTAGGGTGGTTAATCTTAAGGTGATATAAGCTGGGTGAGGTAATTTTTACGTGGTTTTTCTTCAACGTAAGGAGAGATGAGCGGGTGTTGTTGTCGTGACTATTGCGCCGAGGCATCCCCTTGACGGAGACTAAAGAGGTTTGTAGCAGGATGTTGTGAAGTGATGGAGGTTGTAGGATAAAACACTCTAGCTGCCAGCTCTACACAGTGTTTTTCCGGGGTATATATGTTACGTTTTTTATGCGAAATCGGTTATTTCGCAAAATTACCAGCATGCATATTGTTAATTTTCCAAAATAACTTACAAATACGAGCCATCCTAACCTAACCTTTCATTTAACCTAATCATAAGGTTAGTTTAGGTTGTCAGTTTGTAAGTTATTTTGCAAACATACCAATATGCATGCTGGTAATTTTGCGAAATAACCGATTTCGCAAAAAAAAAACGTAACTCATAAACAGTAAATGTTAGTTATCGTAAGTTGTGCAAGGTGGAGCATTGACAGAAAAAATAAGCCATAAGCTCTGTTAGGTGCTCACGTAGGCCGGTGTAGCTCGCCATTTAAAAGTACAAGTGGTGAGATATCCCTGTGATTGTATATAACCCATAGATGGATATTCAAACTCAGATGCCATTTGACTATATTTTTATACGAGTTTCCAACTTTTGTCATTATATACTGTACATTATTTTACCTTTATAAGTTTGTTTGTTTTTTGTTACGTCAGCATGCGGGCTTTCATTTGTGTGTTCGTGTGTCGTCGGGACTGTAAAACTGTCGTAACGGCCTCAGGTCCGTCTTCTTACCAAGCAAGTTGAGTCAATGCCGGTAATTATCGTGCATCACCAAGCACATCCCGACAGTGTTGCCATAAGTTCATAACAATTCACCCGTGGGACATATGCATTTTATCGTGTGAAGGTCCACGTCTCCTTCCAGTTTGTATTAACACTGTTATTATAGCGGGATGTTTTGGCACCCACTTCCTCCTCCTTATGTCTCTTCATCTGACTCTATCCGCCTTTCGTTATGCTGGTCTTTGTCTCTCTTTTTAACCTCTCATTTTTTTTCCAAATTTCTCTTTTCCTTCCGTCTAATCATATCAAGATATTACAAATCAGACAAAAACTATTCGTATTTTATCACCTAACTCACTCGGGTCAACCCTTACTCTTAAGCCATACAATATTTTATGTCAAAATTATATTACAGTTTTATGAGTTAATCTTTATTTTATGACGAGGACATCTGACTCCCACAGGCCACGACAACCTAACTGTACAAGTCCTATATTGGTCACAGTTCTTGGCACAGAAAACGAGTCTTATATTACCAAGTAGTAATTCTGGCCTACCTCAAAGTTCCAAGCGTTGACCACCGCTATTTATGTACATGAACTATCGGTTATGTTAGACCGACCTGTCGTCACGCTAATTTTGTATCACCCAGAGGCTTAAGGAAATATTGTGTTCCTAGTTCTTGTTGACAACGTTTTATCACCACAGTAGCCTCATTCACTGACCTAACTGATGCGTGTTTATCGGGAGTGATGGGTTATTAACTGTTTTTGTTTAAAGCCTTTCAATACAGCCAGTGTCCGGGTCTTTTATTTTGTATATTGTAGTTTATTCTAATGATCAGCTAAATAACTTTACTATACAAAGAAAGAAACAAACAACACGTCTATAAAATCATCACAATAGATTTGACTTTAGAAGATTTTCTAGATTTATTTAATAAAGAATAGCCAAGCCTAAAGGAACACCTGAATATTAGACCCCCAGTAGGATCAGTATGGCACAGAGCCACGCTTACCAACCCTCCCGGGTCATCACAAGTTGCAAGTAGCCTTTCGGAAGTCATCCGACCCATCCTGGTAGATACTTTTTTGAGATACTGTACAGTACAGTAGAGACTACACTGAGTTTACCTGACTCAGCAAGTAGATCAAATGGACGATTTACACCAACTGTACCAAAGTTTACGACTGACACGACTATATATCTTATATGAGTGAAGAAGAATGATGTTTACTGAGCTGTAAAAATACAAATAAAAAACTTTTGAAGGTAACTTCATATCTCTCTTGTCGATGATATCGTATTAACCCCTTCACATATCATCATCATACTCAAGGAAGTTTAAATTTCGTAATCAACGGGTTAACTTATCATAATTAAGTGGCTAAAACAATGTTCTCAAGGGGTTAAAATAATGTACTCAAGAGGTTAAGACGTCGTACTCAAGGGGTTAAGACGTCGTACTCAAAGGAATAATATCTTTCTCACTGCGATAATTCATTGTACTCAATTTGAATCACTAAACACTTATAAGGACAAATAAACTTTAGCAGTAATAATATAGACGTTAGATAACACTCTCATTATTATGTTTAAGTCTGATACCACCACAGTCACCCCTCACCAGGCACCAACCTAACACACACGCCATCATCTGTCCCCACCACCACACACTCACTTCTCCCTCATCTACCCCCACCACTTCTCCCTCACCTACCCCTCCACCACTTCTCCCTCACCTACCCCTCCACCACTTCTCCCTCACCTACCCCTCCACTACGTCTCCCTCACCTACCCCTCCACTACTTCTCCCTCACCTACCCCTCCACCACTTCTCCCTCACCTACCCCTCCACCACTTCTCCCTCACCTACCCCTCCACCACTTCTCCCTCCCCCACTTCTCCCTCACCTACCTCCCACTTCTCCCTCACCTACCCCTCCACCACTTCTCCCTCACCCTACCCCTCCCACCACTCCCCACCTACCCCTCCCCACTTCTCCCACCTACCCCTCCACCTCCCTCACCTACCCCTCCACCACTTCTCCCTCACCTACCCCTCCACCACTTCTCCCTCACCCCTCCACCACTTCTCCCTCACCTACCCCTCCACCCCTCCACCACTTCTCCCTCACCTACCCCTCCACCACTTCTCCCTCACCTACCCCTCCACTACTTCTCCCTCACCTACCCCTCCACCACTTCTCCCTCACCTACCCCCACCACCGAGAAATAATTATATTTTTTACTTTTTTGGAGTAAATAATAACATTAGTCTTTTAGCTAACTTAACCTAATGATTAAACACCTTAACTTAACCCCTCCCAGGTAGCTTCAAGGGAAATAATTGTGGGATTAATTTTTAGAAGATAAAAACCGATCATATTGACTTGTTGTGTTTGTACATTAGAAAGTTTTGTTCGTACACGTGATATGTAATAATAATGGTATCGATTTGAACTTTCTGAGATAGAATCATTCCTGTCCCAGTCATTAATAGATACAAAAAGCAATGTGCTGTTGAGTTATTCTTCTTGGAAATCATAGAAAACTGTGTTCAAGACTACAACTATTATAAAATTAAAATCATATCATATCAGTTTCTCCTGTGAGTATTCTGGTTTTAAAGTCCAATTAATTAAGTTTTTAACAGGAGAAACTTACTTACCAAAGCTTCTCACAGGCATAAGTGAACAATTAATCTATGATATTACATCTAAAGGCAGTATTTCCCTTCACAACACACCGCGTCTGTTGACACCAATACTAGCGGGTAAGAATGAACTAACTGTTAACTTTAGCAGGTGTTGTCGGATGATCGTTTCACCCTCCCATTATTGCCTTCCGTTAACCTGTACGTACTAATTTTTCATGGTCAATATTACCACTCAACCACACATTAATCTTTTATGGCTACTTTAAGACAACGTAACTTCATTTTAACGACTTGAAAAATGTGGAATCGTCGACATTATGGAATCGTCGACATATATGGAATCGTCGACATATATGGAATCGTCGACATACATGGAATCGTCGACATATATGGAATCGTCGACATATATGGAATCGTCGACATATATGGAATCGTCGACATATATGGAATCGTCGACATATATGGAATCGTCAACATACATGGAATCGTCGACATACATGGAATCGTCGACATACATGGAATCGTCGACATACATGGAATCGTCGACATACATGGAATCGTCGACATATATGGAATCGTCGACATATATGGAATCGTCGACATATATATTAATTATACTGACAAAATGAAGGAAAAGTTCAAGATATTTTTGACACAACAGTTCATCAAGTTCTTAGTTATGGAGGAAAGGAACTCAAGTAAAATCTATTGTTTCTTAAATTACACTAAAGACCCACATGAGTTCCTTAATTAATTATGTTCACTTAAGGGAAAAATAGAAAGTCATCTCTCCCCTGGTATTTAATGCACAAAATAACCCAAACTACTTTATACTTTTAGTCAATCAAAACTATTAAACACCGCCCCACAGTGTCACTCACAGCACCGGGTTTTTTCTTCATGGTTTTACGCTTTGCTTTAACACTAGTGAGTGGCAGCAGGTGAGGGCCGCCCGTGACACACACACACACACACCACCTCACCTTCCTCCCTCCGTTATCCTCCTCCTTACTGCTGCGAGAACCATCATCACCTTACCTTTATTTGTGAATGTTTTGGCTCAGTATGGTAGTGTTGACCGCCGCAGATCAGGAAGTAAAGCTGAGCAGATTCAGGTTCTCTCAGCTAGATGGAGCAGCGTAACCACCCTCATCCTACGGCCGCTCACGACGCACCTGAGTCCCGCACGCCAACCAACCCCCTACCAGGTCGACAAACTTTGACGTCACAAGATCCTGACTGTGCGATTGGGCCGACTCCGTGACATCATTTCTTCCCAGCGCTGTTATTGGTGCGTCTTTATGACGTCTTCCATATAAACGGGCTGTCATTGGTTGAGATGAAACGTCACTGTTATCAAGAGTTGCGATTGGTTTAGTCTTTTATTAGTTACATAGGTTTTGGCAGTTCCTGTACGTCAAACTAAACGTAACTCGCTTAGAAAGATATTTAATTCATACAAAGCTTAAATTATTGTTTTTTGTAAATCTATATTTGTTAATTGGCTAAAAAGTACTAGAAACTTATAAATTTTCGTTTTACTTCCACGAGATGATTATAAAATACAAGTTGTAGGTAAGAAACACCGTCGCTAAAATAAGAACCTTAGTGAGGTGGTGAGGGTCGGGGTGAAACACACAGCCAACACTGGTAATCTCAACGCGCCTGACGTAGTGAGCTAGTGCGCTCCCTCACTCCCTCTATAAACACTGGTTTTCGCTCGGTTTTGTGAAGCTTTAAGTGCAAATGACGGGTGAAATAAGATATTAAGTGATATTAGTCGTGTATACTCCCGTGTTAAGTGCTCAGATGAGGATTAAGTGTGTCATATACGCAGGATAGTTTGGATATTTCTGGTACGCAAGATTCCTGGGACACGGACCGTAAGGTGAGTACAGATTTAGATGGTAATGAACTTTAAGGTATTCAGTGAGGCCTCTTTTCATGACCCACAGAGCCGAGGTGACCCGAGCTTGGGTCATTTTAGTTGATGGTGAATTATATCACTATGTCAGGGGCTCAGCTGATGTGTATACTGGGGGTGTTAGGATGTAGTGACTGCAGACCTAGGTGAGTGTATCTGAATTATAAATGTTTGAGTATAGTTGTAAACAAACGTGCACTAAGATGTACAGGGATTAGAAAATCACCGATGGTCTCCTCAGTTACTAGGACAAATTTCACTAACCTCTCCACTGATAAAATTCTAGAAAAACTTTAAATGATGTCAGCACACCTGTAGACCACTGGGAGTTGTAATATGACAGAGGGCAGCTGGACCGAGTTCACGAGGTTGTGTTTACTGCTAGTGTGTGTGTGTGTGTATGTGTGTGTGTGTGTGTGTGTGTGAGACAAAAATGCTTTTATCTATAATTATCATGTGTGTATCTTAGGAGGCAAACACCTGAGGTAGATAGGTTGTATAGTATAACAGTCTCACAGATTACTTCAGATGTTTCACTTCATTAGTGTATGCTACGTACATCCTAGGAAGAAAACTGACTGTGTTGTAGAGAGAGATTTGTTCTACCCACACGCCGTACTGTGTGTATCCTGGGGAAAATACCGTGCCTGGTGGCTAGGAAAGAATGTTGTTTAGTGTAGTACTGTATGTTGCTTCCCTCCCCACAGTGTCTGAGGCTGTTACCCCACTACACTACACACAGACAACACACACTGTGACGGCACCAAACAGTGTTAACCTGTAATGTACACATGGCAGAGACATTTACACATACACGCACATAATGGTTTAAACATATAATTAGTAAACAGTGTAATGGCTGATAGACAAGATGTAAACAGACCTACATCCAGGCTGTTTGAACCTCTGAACAAATATACAGATGGCCTTAAGATAACACTAGACCATTAGGAGTCATGTGATACAGGTAATTACACGTAAATATATTATAATAACTAGAGACTTGTTCTAGTCTTGTCCTCTGTACTGTAATAAACAACAGGGTGTATTAAGACCATAATGACTCCTGTTGACTGGTTGATTGTCATTAAAACACCTAAGTGGGTCATTATAGACAATATATGATTGTTTACGTTTGTTTAATCGATTCATATGGTATTTCATATAATATTGTCATGCTATGAATATTCTGTCATCATCATCATCACCATCATTGTCGTCGTCGTCATCACCATCACCATCATTGTCATCATCTTCATCATCATCACCATCATTGTCGTCGTCATCTTCATCACCATCACCGTCGTCGTCATCATCTTCATCATCATCACCACCATTGTCTTCATCATTGTCATCATCATCATCACCATCATTGTCATCATCATCTTCATCATCATCACCATCATTGTCATCATCATCTTCATCATTGTCATCATCGTCATCATCATCATTGTCGTCGTCGTCATCATCATCATCACCATCATTGTCGTCATCATCTTCATCACCATCATCATCGTCATCATCATCGTCATCATCATCATCATCATAGACAGGGGTTACCGTCATAGTTGCTGTGGTATCATGCCTTTCTTTGAATTAAAACGAATCAACTTAACCTAACTTAACCTAACTTGACTTAATATAACCTAACCTAATTATAAAAAAATAATCTAGTCTTGTTACGTTAATTTAGGTGAGATTAAGATAGATTTACTTGGTATATACGTTTTACCTGTATTCCAAGATATTTAGGTTAGGTTAGGATTACCTCTTTTGTTATACGTAATTTAAGAGATGGTTAAGGGTGACGGATACATAGTGTTCATCCATAGTTCTGACACCGGATTTGTGAACATTAAGTGAACTCAAGTTACCAGTGTTCAGTGGCGTACTCTACCTGTTCTTAACCCTTCGAGTATAATGTCACCATACGCAGGGGGTCATTGTATTCAAAGGGTTAATAAATCTTACTCAGGGGTCATTGTATTCAAAGGGTTAAGAAATCTTACTCAGGGATTAAGTAACTGTGATCTAGGGATTAAGTCATCTGACTCACTGGGTTTAAATTATTGTAGTATTCATAGGAGATTATTGTAATACTTGAGAGAATAGTCATCGTACTCAGAGGATTACTAACTCGTACTCAAGGGTAATCTTATTGGAATAATTAAGATTAATAAATGAGGTTAATTTATTGTACTAATATTGTACTCAAGGGATTAATTCATTATACTCAAGGATTTTAGTCATAGTGCTCATGGTGTTAAGGGCAATTCATGGTACTCAGGGATTGACATCGTACTCAATGGGTAAACAGTTACTTAAGCTTATGACTGTCAGCTCAGCCAGATAATGTTTACTACTTCTACCACGTGTGACTTGCAATTTCTCGGTGTGTTCTGGTAGTTATTGTCATCGTGCAGTGCAACACAGATCACTGGAGGCAGAGGTAGACATACTGTACATACTAGAGAGAGAGACACGAAACTCTCTCTCTCTCTCTCTCTCTCTCTCTCTCTCTCTCTCTCTCGTAATTGTCCGTAACCATCACAACACTCTCTACCACACTACCACCACAACACTCTCTACCACACTACCACCACAACACTCTCTACCACACTACCACCACAACACTCTCTACCACACTACCATCACAACACTACCACCACAACACTCTCTACCACACTACCATCACAACACTCTCTACCACACTACCACCACAACACTCTCTACCACACTACCATCACAACACTCTCTACCACACTACCATCACAACACTCTCTACCACACTACCACACCACAACACTCTCTACCACACCACGTCACCAGTACCACAACAGCATCATCATATCATATCTGACTTTTTCTCCGATACTACCACAACCTGTCCTCATCTGCCACCCCTAGCACCATCCCCAGCCTCGACACCCCTAGCACCATCCCCAGCCTCGACACCCCAGCACCATTCCCAGCCCACCTCCAGCACCACCCCAGCCTCGACACCCCTAGCACCATCCCCAGCCTCGACACCCCCAGCACCATCCCCAGCCTCAACACCTCCAGCACCATCCCCAGCCTCGAGCACCATCCCAGCCCGACACCCCAGCACCATCCCCAGCCTCCTCCAGCACCACCCCCAGCCTCGACACCCTCACCATCCCAGCACCATCCCCAGCCTCAACACCTCCAGCACCATCCCCAGCCTCGACACCCCAGCACCATCCCCACCTCACCAGCACCATCCCCAGCCTCCAGCACCACCCCAGCCTCTGACACCCCCCACCATCCCCAGCCTCGACACCTCCAGCACCACCCCCAGCCTCGACACCTCCAGCACCATCCCCAGCCTCGACACCTCCAGCACCATCCCCAGCCTCAACACCTCCAGCACCATCCCCAGCCTCGACACCCCCAGCACCATCCCCAGCCTCACACCTCCAGCACCATCCCAGCCCACACCCTAGCACCATCCCCAGCCTCGACACCTCCAGCACCACCCCAGCCTCGACACCTCCAGCACCACCCCAGCCTCAACACCTCCAGCACCATCCCCAGCCTCACACCCCCAGCACCATCCCCAGCCTCGACACCCTAGCACCATCCCCAGCCTCGACACCCCTAGCACCATCTCCAGCCTTAGCACCACCAGCCTCGACACCTCCAGCACCATCCCCAGCCTCGACACCTCCAGCAGCATCCCCAGCCTCGACACAGCAGCCATCTCCAGCCTCGACAGCCTCCTCCAGCACCACCAGCCTGACACCTCAGCACCATCCCCAGCCTGACACCTCAGCACCATCCCCAGCCTGACACCTCCAGCACCATCCCCAGCCTCGACACCCTAGCACCATCCCCAGCCTCGACACCCCAGCACCACCCCCCAGCCTCGACACCTCCAGCACCATCCCCAGCCTCGACACCCCCAGCACCCCCCAGCCTCAGCACCACAGCCTCGACACCCCAGCACCATCCCCAGCCTCGACACCCCAGCACCACCCCAGCCTCGACACCCCAGCACCATCCCCAGCCTCGACACCTCCAGCACCATCCCCAGCCTCGACACCTCCAGCACCATCCCCACGACACCTCCAGCACCACCCCAGCCTCGACACCTCCAGCACCATCCCCAGCCTCGACACCCAGCACCCAGCCTCACACCTCCAGCACCATCCCCAGCCCGACACCATCCCCAGCCTCGACACCTCCAGCACCATCCCCAGCCTCGACACCCCTAGCACCATC